GACTTTTTTGTCTTTAGTGTTTTCTTTGACTGACAAATCTATTTTCTCTATTGTGTCTTCAGTGTCAGAGATTCTCTGTTCCATCTCTTGCAATCAATTGATTATGCTTGTTTCTGTAGTTCCTGTTCGTTTAGTCAGGATTTCTATTTCCCGCATTCAGCATGTGTTTTCTTTATTCTCTCAAATTCATTTTTCAGATCTTGGAATGTTTCTTTTCATCTGTTTAATTGCTTTTTCTTGGCTTTCTTTGATTTCTTCCCATTTTTTGTTCGTTTTTTTCTTCCATTTCTTTAAGGGAACTTTTAATTTCCTCTTTAATGGAGTTTTTTATTTCCTCTTTAAGGGAATTTTTATTTCTTCTTTAAGGGCCTTTATCATCTTCTTAAAGTCATTTTTAGGATTGATTTCTTCTGTTTCTTCTGCCTTGGTATGTTCAGGTCTTGCAGGTGTAGAATCACTAGGTTCTGATGTTGCCATATAGGTCTTTATGTTGTTGCCTGTATTTTTGCACTGGTGTCTACTCATCTCTTCCTCTGCTTGGTGCAGGTGGTGTCTGTGTCTGAGAGTGCCTCTCTTGTTCTAATTTTTAGTCTCGGTTCACTAGGAGTTCTTGGTTAAATTGGTGCTGATGGCCTGTTTCTTCAGGAGCAGCTGATCTCAGTCGGTGAAGTATATACTTATGATTCTGGTGATCAGGTTTGGTGGCTGGGCAGTGCTTTCTTCTGTGTTCCCAGGTCATTTTTTTGTTCATTTGTGGACTCCTCAGCTGATCTTGTTTCCTCAGACTTCAAACTGTAGGGATTTGAATCCTCTCCCGGATGGATTTCAGCTGAGCAGTGTAGTCTCACCAACACCTCCAAGTTGTTGGGTTTCGCAGGGTCAGCAGCTGGGCCCTGGGTTGGCCTCAGATGGAGTGTTCAGATTCATTCTGGTTCCGTCCCATGGAGATAACTTCTTCCCCGGGTGTTGGGATTAAAGGCATCCCTGTTCCAAGCTCTTGATTAAGAGCTTGTTTTCACTAGCTCTTCAGTGGGTAATAGCTCAGTTTCTCGTCTTTATTGCAACTGTGTTTTCGCCGCTGCCTGCTGGGCCTGCCTGCCTCCATGCCAGGCCTATCTGCCTCTGCTCGCCGCCGCCTGGCCTGTCTGTCTCTGCCAGCCACCATGGGGCCTACCTGCCTCTGCCGCACCTGTCTACCTTTGCGGGCCACCGCCGGGCCTGTTTGTCTCTGTGGTCTGCCGCTTGGCCTGTCTGCCTCTGCCGGCGGCTGCCGCTGAGCCTACCTGCCTTTGATGGCCACCGCCGGGCCTGTCTAAGCATTACTATTTTAATGCAGGTCCTAGTTAATAATTCATATCTTGACATGCAGTTAGCCCGTGACATCCCCCTTTAATGTCACCACAGTTTCTGACTACTAGGGTGTTTAAATAGGAGGACTGATGAAATGTTCATTTATGACATTGGCCACTGAGCCAAATCGGAATGAGAGAAGAACCACATCCTAGGGAAATTATAACATCACAGGGAGAGACAGAGCTTGCCTACTAGATGTGAAAGCATAAACCACAGGAGAATGTGTAAGTAAAGCTCACTTTCTACTTGGGAATTACATTTGGAAGCACTAAGATGTGAATCTGTTTTCTTTACAAGGGTATTGCTACATTTCCTTTTGTCTACACAGAACTTCTTTCTTGCAATATTTCTAGCACAATTCCTCATTCATTTTTTAAGTCCATTGCTTATTTCTGTAGTCTAAATCTAGAAAGAAAGAGGAGGGCAAAAAATGCGAGCTGGATTCTCTTCTAGTGTATCATAAAATTCAGTGATGATACTCTCTCTACCTACAGTTTAGGGAGGGAAACCTTAAAATTTGACCAAGAAGTAATTACTGTTTGTTTCTTCTGTTGTGAGCTTAGAGTGAACCAGTGGTGTTCTCAATCCTTCTAAAGAATTGTGTGAATGGCTGAATATTTTTATTTTATTTTAAAGTGTGTGTGTGTGTGTGTGTGTGTGTGTGTGTGTGTGTGTGTAGACTTATGTGCATACAGATGCCCACGATGGCTGAAAGATCTGCTGGAGCTAGTGTTATAGGCACTTGTGAGCTGCTTGTCTGGGGTGCTGGGAACCAAACTCTGGTCTCTGCAACATCAGTATGCACTGCACTCTTAACTGCTGAACCATCTCTACAGGCCCCAATTGCAGCTTTCTTTGAGAAAAGCATAATACGCTTGTTGATCAGTGCTGGCCCAGCTATAGATGCTGATTTTTCTCATATGATGGGTGTATGATTCAGGGTCAGAGAGGTAGCTCATTGTATTATTGTGCAAGCCTGAGGACCTGAGTTTGAATCCCCAGCACCCACATAAAAAATATGCTCTATTACATCTATAATCTAGCCACTCCTATGTCAAGATGGGAGGGGGAGATAGGAAAATCCCTAGAAGCTCACAGGTCAACCGTGACCATTAAGAGACCTTGTCTCAAACAAGGTGGAAAGTGGGGACTTCCATCTGTACATCATGACACACATGTGCTCACACTCCCACTCATGTGGACACACACACAAATATGCATGTGATTCAGAATTGACTCAGCAAAACGGGTCCCCTATTGTACCACCAAAAATGTGTTTTTTTGTTAGTCCCCTGAAGGTCTCATGTGTTAAAAGACTACAAATGCTGATTTTCCTTTGACATTGTAATTATTCATTTGTCTTGTTGGATAAATCAGAAGTTGTAAGTGCATCAGTTATGATCATACTGTTCTCAGAGGTGGAGAGTCATTTCTGAACAATGTTGCATGTGTTCATGTGTGAGCCTCCACGGTGTTGTAAATCTAACTTAAATAGTTGCTTTTAACAGGATGAAAATAGATCAAAGTTTCCATTGCTGTGAGGCACTCAGGGTTCAAGAATTTCCCCAAAGCATGTGGCATTCAATAATGTAAATTATACTCCTGGTTATTGTGACCCTTTTGTTAATCACGTTTTTGGCCCCCTTCTCTTTCAGGATGGGGAAGCCAAAGCTCAAAAGTGCAAATTCATCACAACACATGGCTTCATTTTCCCGGACATAATCTGAGATGGATTCTGACGTTTGCGCTCCTCTTTGTCCACGTCTGTGAAATAGCAGAAGGCATTGTGTCAGACTCGTAAGTGACCCGACTCGTCCATACTTTACTGTATGTGAGCAGGCACATGGACGTAGTCAGAGCACACCATCAAGCTTCGTTGGGGAAGGGGATCAGATCATGACTTATTAGCCATAATAACCGCCACCCACCCTACAGGATAACCACATGGGGTTTGTTTTTGTTTTGTGTGTGTATATATGATGAATGTGTGTTCACATGTGTGAATGGGGTGTGCATGTGGAACGTCAGGGGACAACCTCTGGTGTCGGTCCTCACTCTCTGCCTGTTTGACTTGTGATTCCATTGCCATTGGCCATGCCAGGCTAGCTGGCCCATGTCTCTGATTCACATCATTCCTTAGGATCACTGGGGTTGCAGATGCATGCTACCCTGCCTGGCGTTTTATATGGGTTCTGAACTCAGGTCCACACTTGCACGGTAAACACTTTACCTGCTGAACTTTCCCCCGGTCCCTCTGTGTTTTACCTTCATTGTTGTCTAGCTATATAATTTCTCTGATGGATAATTTCAGATCTTTGTGACTGGTGCTCAGTCATGTGCTTTCATATTTCTTTGTTTTCTTATCCAGAAAGTTCTGTCCTCGGAAACATTTTGATGTGTACTTTATCTTTAAAAATAGGTATATACATATCATCTATACTGATATTAAATATCTGTATCTCTCTCTATGTCTTGATAGTAATTGAGTATATAGCTCTAATATCTATGTATTTATATTTTAACATAGATGCTCTCATTTATTTTGTAAAGGAACAGAAATAGGCAAAGTAGACATTAAGGGAAGCTAAGAGCCATCAAGACAAAGAGACTGAAGTAAAGGATGGGAGAACTTTAATATCAGATTTGCATGAAGTCATATTTCTAGTGTAATTTTGTCCTTCTTATAAAAGCAGGTTATATTAGGAAATAAAATACAATGAATTTTACTTCTAAATGTAAATGTAGTTGGTGAAAAATATTTCTCTCACATAGTAACAGAATAAACTCAAGCAATAGGAAATGCTTAGGCCACGGTATACCTTTCATTCAAACATTGATTAGGAGCCAGGCATGGTGGCATACACCTTTAATCCCAGCACTAGGGAAGCAGAGGCAGGCAGTTCTCCGACTGAGGTACGTAGTGAGTTCCAGGTTAGCTGGGGCTATACAGTAAGACCCTGTCTAAAAAATAATATTAGAACCTTTCAAGTTTTTAAAAAGAAAACTCAAAACCTATTTTCCTCTCATTTCCTAGGAACTCCTTTGCGACTTCTTTGTTTTCCTGTTGCAATTAGCAAGGGCTGAAACTTCCGTCATGGAGACAGCTCTCCCATAATGCTTCATGGTGGCTCCTTGCAGATGTGCGCTTGTCTGAATTTCCGATAAAGGGGAAATCAGAGACTCTAATATGTGTCTTTATTTAAAACAATTGGAGATTTCTTTTGCCCTTGACTTATTAATAACTTTTTAGAACTCTTTGGTGTGTTTGTATAAACACAGCCAATGCTGTCTTTAATACTTTCTTTTGCCTCTGAACCATGTAGTGTGACATTGTATGTCCCTATGCACATATATGAATAGAAACCAGCCCAATATTTCTTAGAACCTTGATGTGTTATCAGGGAGTACTCTTCTCTTCCAGCTTCATGGCTGATGTGTGGCATGAGAGATGGAAAGCAGGCTGAGTGAATAATGAGCGCCCTGTGGGAATGGTGGAAATAAGTTTGTAATGGTGATCATATCAGGAGTTGGTCTTAAAACCAAACAGGCAGATAGAACCAATGTAACCCTGTTCTTGTGCACTGTCTCCCATTTAGACTTATCCCTGCTTTTTACCTAGGCTTCTTAAAATGCCATCTTGCCATGACTTCTTAAACACAAAGTTTGCCTCCTTCTCTCTGACCTACCCTTAAAACTGCTTCTACAAGAGGCCCAATGAACATGCCCCACACAGCCATGGCCATATTATTATGTTTTCATTGCTGATATTTTTTCTTTCTGTCCTTTGTGTGTGTGGTATGTGTATGTGTGTGAATTTGTATTAGCATGTGTATGGAAGCTCACGTGTGAGCCAGTGCATGTATGTGTGGGCCTGAAGTTGATAACAGGTTTCTTACTCCATCACTTGTCATCATTTGTATTAAGGCAAGGTCTCTTACTGAACCCTGAGCTTGTTAGAATGACTAGTCAGCTGGCTTCTGGGATTACAGGAGGGCAATGATGCCATGCCCACCTGGGTTCTGGGGACCTCAACTTCAATCCTCACACTTGCACAGCAAGCCCTTATCCATCTCCTCAGATTCACTTTCAGTGCAGGGAAGTGGTGCTGAGGTTTGCGTAATGTTCAACAAGTCAATGGTCCATCATTAGGTCCCTTCATGATCTGCATATTCTCCTAGAGCTTGCTTCCTTTCTCTTCTGTCCTTATAACACCTCAGTCACACAACTGTCTGCCCAGGAGAGGAACTGTCATTTAACTCTGTCATCGTGGCCTTTGTACATTCACACTGGTCCACTGTAGTCTGACTCTACGGCCATTGCCTTCACAATTCACACTGGTCCGCTGTAGTCTGACTCTACACCCATTGCCTTCACAATTCACACTGGTCCGCTGTAGTCTGACTCTATGGCCGTTGCCTTCACAATTCACACTAGTCCACTGTAGTCTGACTCCATGGCCGTTGCCTTCACAATTCACAGTGATCCACTCTTGCCCAATCTCGCAACTGACCTTTTCCAAATGCCCTGTTTCCTCCATGTCATTGCTGTGAGGATTTGACTGAGACCTTCACTGTGTTGCCTGCCTGTTGTCAATCATTTCCTAGTGGCCTCTCCCTCTGCTTCTTCCCTCCTCCAGAACCCCCAGAACACCTACCAATACCATCATCCCTACAGTGCAGAATAAATCTGTCTAAAATACAAATGTGACCAAGCACTAACAATTAAGCTCTTCCAGTTTTCTTCAGAGAGATTCCTACCCATTACATGGTGTGCAAAGCCTTTTGGGATATAACCTGTTCTAAGCTTTCTGGTTCAGCATTAAACTATTTATAATTTTAAACATATTATGTGGTTTTAAGCTTCAGTATATCTCCACATTCTGTGCCCTGTTTACAACTTTCCTGACTGGGACATTGATTTTGTTTTATTTTATTTTTATTGGCATGTATTCTTTGCCTTCAGTACTGGGTTTCATATAGACAATTTCTTCAAATGCATTACGTACTCTGATCTTATCCTACTGTCCATGCCTTCCCCATGGTCTCCCTGCTCCTTTCTCCCTCCACTCACCCCTCCCTTTCCCTAACCTCCCTTCTGCTTCCATGACATATAAATGCATATGAGTAAATGGTGCCATACATCTATAAAGAATAGTAGGGCCCGCAAATGGGAGAAAATATATTTGCCTTTCTGCCTCTTATTTTGCTTGTATGATGTCCAGCTGCATTTTTTCTGTATTTCAGTCTCCACTGTCAATCACACTTCCATGACTTCCTCAAATGTATTTTTTTCCTATATTTGAACTAGCCACTCTTTCAGCTCATTGTTTTTACTGCTTTGATTATTAAATTATTTCTGCAGGTCTGCTTTGACACATGATTTATATATCACTGTATATATCCACACATACACACTCATATAGAATGGTGGTGATATGTGTTTTGTTGTAAGCACTTGAAGATATTGTTTCATTGTATTTAATCCATGCTTTGTGTTAGGATAAATGCTTTCAGCCCAATTATGTCACACAGGAATGATGTATTTACTCACATGTTTTCTAAGCAACTACTATGGCAGTCTGGCTTTTAAACATAGCTGTGTAAGTTCTCATGTGAAGACTGTAAACACAATGAAGAACTCTCTAGAACTGTTTGCCTTACACATCAACACTGTTTTGCTCTCTCTAGGCGGCGGGAGTCCAGGCATCTCCACCTTTTCATGCCAGCCGTGATGGGATTTGTTGCCACTACAACGTCCATCGTGTATTATCATAATATTGAAACATCAAACTTCCCCAAATTACTTTTAGGTAAGTATTATCACAGGTTTTATGACTATCCTCCCCCAAAGAGCCATTTGCTTTCTTCTCCACGTGACAAATAAGAAGTAGTGAGGGGGCTTGAGGGTAGGAAGCATGGAAAATAATTCTCATGGAGTCTCCTGTAAATGTGAGGTTGGGGATACATCACGGTGTCCTAAGCTGTGACAATTCCATTTTCCCTCCAATCAATGCCCTCTGTGGTGTGTCAGTGTGTGGGGCATGGTGTAGTTTATCTAATGTTTTTGTATTGTTATTGCTTTCTGTGTCTTAAACTCTCTCGTGCTTTATCTGATAGGTTTACAGTTTCAATTTTCATTTTCAGAACCAGGATCCATTTAAAATCAACTGTGTATAAGAAGTTATTAGCAGGCCAGGTTCTTCTTATTTTACACACACAGCCAATGGTTCTAAGCAGCTCCCTTTGGTCTAAGTTTCCAGATAGGATATCATAGAGTTGTCCCTGGTTATTGTCCTCAAAGATGTAGACTAGACATGTAGCTGTCTCCATTCCGCATGCTGGCTGATTTATTTTCCCTTTTGTCTAACCTGGCTAAGGAATGACCAGTCTGCTGGGATCCTTTAAACGGGCCTTGTTGATGCTCTTGTGTGTGCCCATTTCTCCAGCTGTTCATTTTGTGTTGTGTGCTTCTCCACGCACAGCCCGCTGCCTCCTTTCCTTAGATGTTGTTCTCTGTCCTCCTTCCCATAACTTTCAAGGCGGAAACATTGATTTGGGACCTCTCCAAAGTGAATATCTAAAACGATCATCCTTATTCTAAGTTTAGTTTTCTAATTTTTACATGAAGTAGAATTTTTGTTGTCATTCAGTTAGAATTTTTTCTAGTGTGTACAGGAACTATTCTTTCACATGGGTTATTAGATATGCTTGGTTTAATTTCTAAGCATCTGGAGACATCTAGATAGCTTCCCAAACAGTGATATGTAGAGGTGACTGTGGTGACTCTGTGCTTGGTGTTCCCAGTCTGGGACATATTCTCCTGAGGTCAAGGAGGATCCCACCAAGCATGGCAAGGACAGAAGTTCAAAGTCAGCTGGTCCACGGCTGACACCATAGTCCCTGTCATCACTTGGCTCACTGCTTGTTGAGAGAATCCAGACGGCACATGAAAACTGAGAGGACAAGGTGTGGGCTGCTCTAAGTTGTCAAGTTTCTGTCACCCACTAAGCAGTAAGCAGAGGTGACAGGCATTCTTGACTTTTAAAAGATGTAACACTCTTGTTTTTAAATTTTATGTTATTGTTTTCATTTTATGTGTATGGCATTTGGCTGACACATGTATCTCTGTATCATGTGTGCACTTGAGAGGATATTGGAGTCCTTGGAACTGGAATTAAAGATGGTTGTGAGCTACCTTGTGGTTTCTAGGAATTGAACCTGGGTTCTCTGCAAGAAAAGCCAGTGCTCTTAGCTGCTGAGTCATCTCCAGCTTTGTCCTTGACATTTTTTCCCATGTGTTTGAGACAGGGTCTCAATATGTAGTTCAGGTTGACCTCAAACTTCTGGTACTTTTGTATCAGAAGAGTGTCCCAAGTCCTGGGATCACAGGCATACATCATCATCCCTAGTTTTATTTTTAAAACTTAATTACATTGTGAAACAAATACAATCGTTGTTAGTCTGATTCCTGTTGTTCTGTTTCCTTCCTTTTTCATATGCATGTTTATATGGTGTACATATGTGTATGCATGTTCATATGTGTGTGGCCATGATCCAAATACAATCATACTCTGTATGATTTCTGTTTCCTTCCTTTTTCATATGTGTGTTTGTATTGTGTACATATGTATATGCATGTTCATATGTGTGTGGACACATGAGTGTATAGGGGCAAGTGTGTAAATGTGCACGTGTGGTTGCCTCAGGTGGATGTCAGGAATCATCGTTATTGCTCTTCTACCTAATTCATTGAGGTAGGGTCTTTCATAGGAACCGAGAGTTCACCAATACAGCTGGTCTAGCTAGCCAGCTTGTTCCAGGGGTCCCCTGTCTCTGCCTCCTGGGTGTTGTTGGAATTACAGGCAGGTCACTGAGACCACTCAGTACTCATGTGGTTCTGGGGATCTGAACCCCAGTCCTCACACTGGCTGCTTTGACTGCTGAGTTATATCTCATTCCTATTTTAATTTCATTATGCCTTGCTTCCTAATTGCCAGCTCTATGGTCAGTTAATGTGAAAGATAGTCTGAAGGAGGTGAGTGGATTTTATAATGCCAAATACCGAGTACTTCCACAAGCATCAAATAATATGGGATGTTTGATAGTGTCTAGATCTTCAAGTTTTCACTGAGCCATTCACAATTTGATTGTTGAAAAATAGACCCATTAATGGTCAGGTATGGTGGCACACACTTTTAATCCCAGTACTTGGGAGGCAGAGGCAGATGGATATCTGTGAGTTCATGGCCAGCCTGGTCTATAGAGCGAGTTCTAGGATAGCCAGGGGTGTTACATAGAAAATCCCTGTCTCGAAAAAACAATCAATCAATCAATCAATCAAACAAACAAAAATAGACCCTTTTATCATTATTAGATTGTTAAAAACATTTTTTCTTCCAGTTAATATTCCATCCTGAAGTCTACTTGGCTTAAAATTAACATGGCTTCTCCAGGATCTTGTTTCCCGGTTTCATGTTACATCTTTTCCATCACTTATTTTCAACCTGTTTCCAGTATTTAGGGTGGATCTCTTTAGACAATGGATCATTTAGTCTGTTAATTTTCCCTAAATTTATCCTTATTTCTATATCTTAAGCTTAAAAAAACCCTGATACATGTTGAGTTATGATGCCAATGTTCAGCTCTCCTTCATTGAGGAAGGAATGAGCACTCTTAAGCATTCTGGCTCTGCTAAGTGTTGCCCAAACTGGATTGTCTGGTGTGTTTTAGGTTAATTTTATCCTGTATTCACCTGTAATGACCCAAGTACAGAGTGGACTACAATCGGGTCTCTTTGCTTCTAACTCACATTCATGGTATGGGGCGGCTGTGGCACGGGGCTGGCTGTGGTGGTGAGGAACGAAGCATCTGCCCTTCTTATTCAGCTAGTCAAGGACTAGGCTGCTGTTTACGCTCCTTGCTCTTCTCTGTGTCCTGCGGATGGTAGTACTGTTTAAAAGGACTTGTTTGAAAAGAATCGTTTCCTGCTTGAAGGATAGCTGTACAGCAGAAGCTCCACTCTACAGCTGTGTAAATTCCATGACAATTCCATGCAAACAGGGATCCACATACACTGAGCACTACAATGTACCCACCTAACCAATAAATTACACAGACACTAACTTGTTAATTCTTCATATAACTGAAGGTCTTAAGAAACAAGATCATGGACAAACCACTGCAGAGACCCACAGAATCATAACAACTCTGAGAAAAGAGATTATACTTAGGTCTCCTTACAGCTTCCCATGTATCATACATATTGATTGAGTGAAAACAATCAATATTTCTAGCATATTTTCATACCTTCATGCATCGGAAGAACTAATATGATCAAAGTGTTGACATGCTCCAAAGCAATTCATAGATTCAATGAACACCCCCCACCACCATCAAAACACTAATGTCATTCTCCTCAGATCTGACTAAAAGCAAGGCAGGGGACATCACAGGACTTCAAATGATGGCACCGAGCTCTAGTGATCAAAACAGCATGGCATTGGTATCAAGACAGACAGACATGGAAAATGATATTAAAGTCAGAAAGCAATACTGTTCACTTACAGCACAAAGGCACAGAAACATACATTGGAAGGGAGGCAGTCTCTTCAGTAACTGGAGCTGTGGGAAACTGGATATTCTCATGCAGAAGACTGAAATTTAACCCCCATTTCTCATCCTGTATCATACTTTCAATTTATAACCCATGACACACTCTTAAACATTGTTTCTTACTGAAGAACTTATTTGTAAATGAAATACTCAATATGTGTTTGTGTTTATGTTGAAATGTTAGTGGAGCTTTGCATGTCCCCTTCTCTTTCTGCAGCTTTATTCCTGTACTGGGTGATGGCCTTTATCACAAAGACGATAAAGCTGGTCAAATACTGGCAGTTGGGGTGGGGAGTGTCAGATCTGCGCTTCTGCATCACAGGTGTGATGGTCATCTTGAATGGGCTGCTGATGGCTGTGGAGATCAATGTCATCCGGGTCAGAGTGAGTACCAATTGCATTTTTGTAATGACTGACACTCGGGACCTCAGCATTAGAGATTACAGCCAGCCAGGAATAAGCAGTGTTAAGGAGAGCGGGAAAAGGACATGTGATCTGTGTGTAAACATGAAGTTAAAATAGCCACTGAATTACGGGACATTTGTCTTAGTTACTTTTCTATTGCTCTGATAACACTGTGACCAAGGCAACTTAAAGAAGAAAGGGTTTACTGGGGCTGGTCACAGTTTCTGAGGGTTAGAGTCCATGGCCATCATGGCTAGAGTGGTGGCAGTCAGTCAGTCAGTCAGTCAGGCAGTCAGTCAGTCAGGCAGGCAGGCAGGCAGGCAGGCAGTCAGGCAGGCAGACAGGCAGACAAGCAGGCAGGCAGATAGGCAGGCAGCAGTCAGTTAGTCAGTCAGTCAGACAGACAGACAGGCAAACAAGCAGGAAGTCAGGCAGGCAGGGAGCCAGGCAGGCAGTCAGGCAGGCAGGCAGACAGGCAGACAGGCAGACAGGTAGACAGGCACTGGAGCAGTAGGTGAGAGCTTACATGTTGATCCGCAAGCATGAGAGAGATGATAGAGATAAGAGAAATGATAGAGAGAGGATAGATAGACAGGGAATGGCACTAGTCTTTTGACATATCAGAACCTGCTCTCAGTGACACATCACCTACAACCTACAACAAGGCCACACCTCCTAATCCTCCCCAAGCAGTTCCACTACCTGAGGACCAAGCATTTACCTCTGTGAACCTGTGTGTGTGTGTGTGTGTGTGTGTGTGTGTGTGTATGTGTGTGTGTGTGATCCTCATGCAAACCACCACACCATTAATATCTCAGAATCTGTGTGAACCTGTACTCTATTTATGCTCTCAAGGTAGTGATGGATTTCTTCATCGTGATTGGCCGAAGGCATGTCTGGGTTTATCAAAACATGTATCTTGAAGTTGATCATTGTAGAGAGGACAATTTTATCTACTCTTCTCATTTCCCTGATGAGGCATCTATAGTGGTAACTAGGTACATGTCCAAAACGCAGTGGTTAGGACTATAGTTAAGGCACACGAAGCCTAGCTTTCAATTCGTCTATACTTTCTGTTCTTCGTGCTGTCAGTTACATTGTGTGAGACACTACTATCCCTAGCAGGTTTTCAATATTCATATTCTATCAAATAACTTTATGTGGAGAGAGATACACACTACAGTGAAAGTGGACAGTAGACATATAACATTAGCCAAACCATGTGACACAACAGTGGTGTTAAAATCTCAAAGACAGAACAGTCTTCATTAATTTAACCCTATCATAGGATAAAGACAGGTTCTTTTAAAGGGCTAATTTTTCAGGTGTGTCTCCAAATGGTTTCAATGTGGAATTCTAGCAATTAGCTAGTTAGTCTAAAGAAAACAAAGGAAAAACATTGCAAAGGATATTTCAGAATGCAATGGAAAGAACCATTAATTAAAACATGAGTTTTGATTGTCTTAAATGAAAATTCAGGAAAGGTTATGGTTTTATTTTTAGTCTGTCAAGAGAGAAGTAGGCAAATGGTCACACTGTGGAATTCTTCCTACCGCAGAGATATGTTTTCTTCATGAATCCTCAGAAAGTGAAGCCTCCAGAAGATCTCCAGGACCTGGGTGTGAGGTTCCTCCAGCCGTTTGTGAATTTATTGTCCAAAGCTACGTACTGGTGGATGAATGCGCTGATCATATCTGCTCACAGGAAGCCTATTGATCTGAAGGCGATTGGAAAGTTGCCAATAGCAATGAGGGCGGTGACAAATTACGTTTGCCTGAAGGAAGCCTATGAAGAGCAAAAGGTAATAGCATTTGTCTTCCACATCTGTAACCAAGGAGGGAAGGCAGGCTTGTTAAATATGAAAGTGCAAAGCTCAAATAGTATCTGCTCAAGGTAAAGTGGATTTTCTCCATCTGTCTCAGCCAGGAGTGAGACTTTGTGTTAATTACATCACTGGAGAAAAAGAGGAAGGGGCTAATGAAGTAAACAGATGTCGTGACTGTTGTCCTAATCACATGAGGAAGGACGGTGCGGGCACTGGTTTTTTCCTCTGGAATATGTGCTCAAGTACACATTAAAAATGAGCTCAGGGTCTGGAGAGATGGCTCAGTGGTTAAGAGCACTGGCTGCTCTTCCAGAGGTCTTAGGTTTGATTCTCAGCACCCTCAGGATGGCTCATAACCTTTTGTCACTGCGTTCCCAGGAGATTTGATGCCTTCCTCTGGCTTTGGAGGGCACTGCACACATATGGTACACATAAAACATAATAAATTGAGTGATCCCATGTAACTAACCTGTTACCTAGAATATTAATAGCTCATACATTCTAGTTCTTCTCCCATCCTAGTTCTTCTCAAGTATCTTATGAATCACTTTTCTAAGTATGGCAAAAATAGTGTATGTTTGTAGCAGGCTTTCTCTCTGGACCACCAGCCAGTTCCCAAATCATGACACAGAGACTAATTATTAGTTAAGGATCCTCAACCTTGTCTTATGCTTGTCCCAGTAGCTCTTATAACTTAATACCCTGTTTATCTTCATCTATATTTTGCCTTGAAACTTTTACCATTCTTTTATTCCGTGTGTCCTACTCTGTGTCTATCTGTTTGACAGCTACCTGGCTGGCTGGGCCCCAGCATCTCCCTCTGTTTTTCCCTTGTTCTCTCTTTCTCTTCTGTTGAGCCTAGATTCTTCCTCCTACTTATTCTCTCTGCCCACCAGTCCCGCCTATCCCTCTGCTGCCTAGCTATTGACTGTTCAGATTTTTATTAGACCAATCAGATGCCTTAGGCAGGCAAGGTGAAACAGCAACACATCTTCACATAATTAAACACATGTAACACATCTTTGCCTAGTTAAACAAATGGAGCATAAACAAATGTAACATACCTTTACATAGCTAAAGTAATATTCCACAACAGATGTTCATTAATATCTCCTCCCTCCTCTTTTTTTTTTCTTGAGACAGGATTTCTGTGTAGTATCCCTGGCTGTCCTGGCACTTGCTTTGTAGACCAGGCTGGCCCTGAACTCATAGAGATCCACTTGCCTCTACCTCCCGAGTGCTTGGATTAAAGGGATGTGCCACCACTCCTGACACTAATAACCACTCAAATCTCATATTAATTATCAATAAACATTGGGTTCTATTGTTCAGACTTGGAAACTATTGAAATGAAAGGACTGTGAACTTCTATTTCATATATTATTATAAATGTTTTCATAAATTGTCTGCTTCCAGCATCTTTCTGTGTATTAATAATTGCTTTAAAATGTTAAAAGTGTGTCTTTAGATATTTCATTTTAAAAATACCTTTGCTTTATTCTTTGACAAGTTCATACATCTATACAATATATCTCAATCCCATTTACTTCTTTGGATATTTTAAAATTGTCCATTACCATTCCAAATAGTCCTGGGTGGGATACACAGTTCTAAATGTATTTTGGTTACTACTCACAATGTTGATGCTCACAATGATCATGGAAGGGAGTCATGCGTGCTGAATCAGTTAAAGAGATTTTTGGCAACTCTAAATGAAAATCAACTGTTTATGGTAAATGATGAAAATGACCATGTGTATCAGAATCTTGTGTTTTGAAATGGCTATTGCAGAAAAACGTTGCTACAAATGGGCCTGAGTCGCTTTTCTGGTTTCCCTTGAGGAAAGTATTGTATTAAAGTGTGTAAATTTCTCTGCTAAAGTAAAGATTTAAAATGTAGACTAAACTTACCTCAGATTTCCTGGGTGCTTTTTATGTACAGTTTGAACTTGAAATGCTCATGTCATGTGAGTAAACCTGGTAGAAAATGAAGAAATCATCGACTCTAATGGACAGTTGAATATGAAAGATGAATTCTATTCTATTGTGTGTGTTTGTATGTGTGTAGGTGCATGTGATTGAACACTTGAGGAGGCCAGATGATAGCCATAGATTGCCTTAGGAGATTTCCACCTGTTTTTTTGAGACAGGGTCTCTCAGTGGGACATAGGACTCCCCTGTGAGGGAGACTGGCTGGTCAGTGAACCCCAGGGATGCCTCCCTTGTGTTAGGAATCTGAGTCACCATGCCTGCCTTTTTTCATGTGGTTTCTGATGATTGAACTTGAGTTCTCATGCTTGTGAGGCAAGCAATTTACCAACTAAACCATCCCCCACCCCAGCCTTCTGCTCCATTGAGTCCCTTCTTTGACACCGTAGATGTTCAGGCCTTAAAGTCTTTATGAACAATGGCTGATGTATGAGTCAATGGTCATCTTAAACATGTATCTATTTTTCTTTTTTCAAACACATGCTTCTAACACTTTAAAACGAACTGGCTACTCTTTATGAAGCTGACAAAATGTGTAAGATAAATCATGTGAGATAATCTATTTTAGCTTACAGTAGTGTGATTGGGAACCTCTTATGAATACTAAATATTCAAACATATGAGCCTATGAGGCCATTTTTATTCAAATCTCTATAGTATGTGTGTGTGGACATGTGCATGTCATGGCTCACATGTAGAGATCAGAGGACAACATGTAGAAGTGGGTTCTCTCTTTACACCACGTGGATCATGGGGATTGATCTCAGGTCATCAGGCTTGGTGGCAAGCATCTTTACTCACTGGGCCATCTTGCCTGTCCTCCTCACAGTACTTTTGAAAGGAAATACATGATTGGATACATGATACAAGGCCTCATAACATCAGACCTTGTCTCTCATTGTCTTGTTTTTCATATGATTTTCTGTGGTCATATCCATGAGTGATATACATTTTCAAGCTCAAGGGAACTAGATATGAATTTGTCCTTAAGAATTCCATGTCATCCTTTGATAACTAAAAATAACACAGAGATGTAGAACTAACTTATATATTATGCTGTATCTGTTTTATTGTGATGGTTCCAGAAGCTACCATTTGTATAAAATGCAAGGATACAGAATTTCCCATGTTGCATTGAAATCTCCACAGTTTCTTTTAGATCTTTAGAATATTGTTGGGATTTCAGAAAGCACATCACTCAGCTGCTACTTCAAGCTTTTACTTGGGTCTTTTGTTTGCTTCAGAAAAAAGTTGCAGACCATCCGAATCGGACCCCATCCATATGGCTGGCCATGTACAGAGCTTTCGGGAGACCAATCTTGCTGAGCAGCACATTCCGATACTTGGCTGACTTGCTTGGGTTTGCTGGTCCTCTGTGTATTTCCAGAATAGTCCAATGTGTGAATGAAATCAAGAATGGGACGACTAACATAACAGGAGTAAGTTCATGGTTTTTCTTTTTATTATTTAGTGTTTGCATTAGTTACTTTTTATTGCTGTGAAGACACAGTAACCAAGGAAACTCATAGAAGAAAGAGTTTATTGTACAACTATAGTTCCAGAGGGTTAGAGTCCATGACCATGATGGGGAGCATGGCAGCAGGCAGGCAGATGTGGTGTTGGACCAGTAGCTGAGAGCTCACATCCTGATCCACAAGCATGAGGCAGAGAGAGAGCTAACTGGGAATGGCATGGGCTATTGAAACCTGAAAGCCTGCTCTCTGTGACACACCCCCTCCAACAAGGCCGCACCTCCAATCCTTCCTGAGCAGTTCCACAAACTGGGGTCAAGTATTCAAACATATGAGCCTATGGGGGACATTCTTATTTGCATCACCACAATGTATATATATGTGGACATGTAAATGACATAGCAAACATGTGGAGATCAGAGGACAACTTGTGGGAGTAGAGTAGGTTCTCTCTTTCCAACATGTGGGTCTTATAGATTGGTCTCACATCAGCCTTGGTAGCAAACACCTTTATTTGCTGAGCCATCTTGCCTGCCCCGCCCACAGTACTTTTGAAAGGAAACACATTACTGGATGATTACATTGTAATTGTCACATTTTATTAATGCAGAAATTCAAGCAGGTTTATTATAGAGAAATGGAATGTTTTTAAGTAAAACCAATAATTTTCCTTTTGAAGAAAAAAAATATATGTATATCAAAATTATTCCTAAGATTTGGAGCTTATAAATATTTTATAATCACCCTTCATGTGTAAGGAACTTCATGCAAAAATTCACATTGATTATTTTACTTGATTTTTATAGTAATCTTTAAATAGGATATGAGAGTGTTAAGTCACTGCTTAAAAGGTCTGTGGCAATAATATGGCCAATGTGGTTTTCAATATTACATATTATTTTCTGTTTTATTGTGTTTGTATGCATGAATGTTTTCAGGTGAGTGTGTGTGTGTGTGTGTGTGTGTGTGTGTGTGTGTGTGTGTGTGTGTTTAGGCCAGAGGTTGTCATTGGCTGTCTTCCTCAATCACTCCTACACCTTAATGTTTTTTGAGACAAGCTTCTCACTTTGTTTGGAATTAAATTTGGGTAACTGGGTGCCAGTGGGCCCTAGTGGTCCTCCTGTCTCCATTTTCCTGTCAGTAAAGGGCTGGACACCCAAGCATAAGGAGCCAGGTTTTTATCTTCAGCACCTATGTAGAAAAATCCAGGCATAGGAGCCCACACCTGGACCACAGGGCTGGGAGAATGGGGATGGGGTAGAGCTGGAGGTTCATATACCTGAACTCGGGCTGGAGGTTCAGATACCTGAACTCAGGCTGGGAGAATGGGGATGGGGTAGGGATGGAGGTCCAGATGCTGAAGGTGAAGAAGGCAATTGAAATATAATCTTACTAGATTAAAAAAATACACTTTATTGAAATGCATTCACAAGTAAAAGTATCACACATCTAGATTAAGTTGGTTACTTAAGCAAGCACTTGCTTGCCTAGTCCCAAACTCTGTCTCAGTAAACTTTGCTACAGTTATAATGGCCATTCTGAAGCCATTGCTTAGGGTTTTACCCTTTACCAACAATTACATTTTTATTCACTTATTCACCACAAAAAAGGAGGAGGAGGATGAAGATGAGAAAGAGGAGGAGAAGGAAGAGGAGGAGGAAGAGGAGGAGGAGAGGACTATGAAGGAGTTTGAAACCACAAAATCTATTTGCTTTACATACTCCTTCACAACACTACGTTTCAATAACAAAAATGCAGAATGTCTGTGATACTGTCATGTGCTTCATTGACTGTCACCAAGTGACACTGTTGTTCACAAAGCCAAACCAATGTCATTTCATCCATATGATGGACCCCATCATTTTCCTACTAAGACATGTCTCCCAAAGTCATCTTTTCTTCCTGGAAGTGACCCATGGGTGAAATAAATAAATGACATGTTTTAAACTTGGCTTCACTAGTATGAATTAGGATACATGGAAACTGGAAAACGTTAACTGTGTACAATGATTTTAAAGACCACGGACAAGGTGGCCCAGTCAGTGAAGTTCTTGACTGACAAGCAGGAGAGCCAGGGTAATTTATGACTGTCATCCCAGTGTAGGGAAAGTGGAGACAGGAAGGCCCCTGGGACTCACCACCAGACAGTCTGGGTGAACTAGTGAGCTCCCAGCCAATGGGAGACCCCGTCTCAAGGGCGATAGATATCTGCATTGTAAGAACATTGAGTTTTAAATTGGAAATCATGTGACCTTTCATAAACACACATGATACATCTGGTAGATGGAAAGACTGGTTTTAATTTGTTTTCTGTTTACTTGTCGGGATAAGAATTCAGAGACACTCTCATCGAAGGAATTTCTGGAGAACACCTATGTGCTGGCAGTCCTGCTCTTCCTGGCCCTTATCCTGCAAAGGACGTTTTTGCAGGCTTCCTACTATGTGACCATAGAGACTGGCATCAACCTCCGCGGGGCTCTGCTGGTACGTAGAACAGGGGACCTTTGCATCTTGTAAGTGCCATGCACTGTGTGTTGGTAAGAACACTAACCATTTAGGGAACAACCCCACCCCACCCCACTCCACCCCACCCCACCCCACCCCACTCCACTCCACTCCACCCCACCCCACCCCACTCCACTCTGTTTACGCTTTAATACTCTGACAACATGTTTCTAGGATCTACTTTTAAAAAATTTAGTTGTCATATAAAATAATGGAATTTATTGTAACGTTTTCATAGATATATTTCATTATGCTTCGTTCTCTCTCTCTTTGTTCTCTCTGATCCCTTTCATACGCTGAAAATAGTCCCTCCTGTTTTTGAGTCACATATATTCAATTACCCTCCCATTATTGCCACCTTTGGATCTCCCCTCCCTCTTTACAGCCCCTTCTCCCTCCTCACAGCCCCTTCCTCTCCCTCCTCACAGCCCCTCTTGGCTTCCAGATCTGTAGCTTCTACTTAATGAAAGAAGCACGGACTTAATGTGTGTGTGTGTGTGGGAGCTTTCAAAATAACACATTAAGTAAGACATTTCAAAAATCTTGCATTTACCATTCCTATGTCTGTTTATTCTTGAACATAATGTTTAAAGTTGAGTGTGGGTCTTAATTATAGTCCTAGAAAACACAAATTCTTATTTAAGAACATGGTTAGTTTAAGAAGGTAGAGAAGCTTATAAATTTTCAAAAACTTAAAATAATTGTTATTTCAATGGAAGGAAATAATTAGTGTTGGATTTAAGTTTGGAGCTCAGCATTAATCTTTTCCCCTTTCCTCATAGGCTATGATATACAATAAAATCCTTCGGCTCTCTACTTCTAACCTATCCATGGGTGAGATGACCCTGGGACAGATCAACAACTTGGTTGCCATAGAAACCAATCAGCTCATGTGGTTCTTGTTCCTGTGTCCTAATCTGTGGGCCATGCCTGTCCAGGTAGATCAATGTACATAAGATGCTTATTGGAAGGGGAGAAGAAAGAAACAGCTGAGAATGCTTGGCTCCGGGAAGGGCATACTGTTGGGATGTTCTAGTGTCCTTGGGCCACTTTTTGTGGACAAGGAATATGAGATTAAGGGATGTTAGAAGGTTAAATAGTCGGATGTGGGGTTCATTGCTTAACTTCTAATGTCTGTGGTGCTCCTTGCGTGCGCTGCTGTGGAAGGCCCCCAAGTGTCACTGTCTGTATCTGTACAGTGGGAATAGCACACAGATCTTCTTGACATAGCTGTCAAGTTTGAAGAAGTCCAAAGCATTTGGAAACAGGGTCTTCGCATTTCACGGCACTTAGTAGCCGCTGGTTGTTGGTATTACTGTCCAAATCCACACCCAGGTCTGGACTCTTTCATTCTGACAAACTCCCACAGCATTTCTGATCTACAGCGGCACTTCACATCATCCCATGGCTTCAACTGGGGGTTGAAACATGGCAAGCTCTGGTGCTATTTAGCCATATGTTATATAAAGTAGCATTTTAAATGAGTTTTAATGAGTTTTTTGTTTGTTTGTTTTTGTTTTTAAAGATGTGGTTTTTATCACACTAGGTAAAAACGGCCAAAGAAACACTTTCAGCTCTTTTTCTGGGTTGCCATATTGGGTATTTTTCATTATCTCAAAATTTTCATCTTTAAATTGAAACTTACACTGTGTACATTTATTAAAAGTACATAAAGTAATAACAATGCAAGTTCTTAAATGTATTATTTATAGTTTGTTCTTAGTGGAAATTCAAATTCATAAAATACAAGTGTTTGAGCATACTGGATAGCAAGCCTGAGGTCAGTCTTGGCTGGTTTAGTCAGCCTTGGCTATGTAGCAAGTTGGAAGCCTCTCTCAGAAACAAAAAATAAAAATGGATGAAAAGAGAAAAATGAGTGTGATAAAGTAGCCTGAGGGTCTTTATAATTGGTTGGTTTTGTTTGGTTAGGGTTTGAATATGTAGTCTTAGCTGGTCTTGAACTCACAGCGACCTTCCTACCTACAGCTCCCAAGCGCTGGGGTTACAGCCTTGTGTCACCACACCCAGCTTTCTTCACAGATTTGCTTAGGCATAGACTTCTTAAGTGGCGTTTGGAGTCACCAAGTAGGGAACTTTTGTCCCCCAGCAGCCCTCCTATGCTCACGTGGAATGCTGCCAATACCTCCATTTCCACAACTTTGAAAACCTAGTACAATTCCAGGAGAACCTAGAGTGTCAAGTTTATTGTGGGTGACAGCCTGTTCATCCCTTTAAAGCCTCCTTTCAAGTTTAGACATGTGTTATAAGGTCAGAAACACCAGGAGGCCATTCCACAGTTCCATGGAGTAAACTGGTCTGACATCAGTTGTACAGATCAACATACTAAAAATATGTTCCTAGAGCTTGGCTGCACAAAGAAGTCTTAGCGAAACTCAGCTGTCACCATTGAGTTGGCCCCCAAATGAACGTAGCACGATAATTAAGAGCATCCATTAGCCGGGCGGTGGTGGCGCACGCCTTTAATCCCAGCACTCGGGAGGCAGAGCCAGGCGGATCTCTGTGAGTTCGAGGCCAGCCTGGTCTACAGAGCGAGTTCCAGGAAAGGCGCAAAGCTACGCAGAGAAACCCTGTCTCGAAAAACCAAAAAAAAAAAAAAAAAAAAGAGCATCCATTTCCACTGATGGCGTTCCCGCAATCGCTGGTTCCCGCAGCCTGCTCACTCTGCTGTTCTGTGCTCCCTCCCAGATCATAATGGGGGTGATCCTGCTGTACAATCTGCTTGGATTAAGTGCACTGGTTGGCGCCGGGGTCATCGTGCTTCTCGCGCCCATTCAGTACTTCATCGCCACGAAGCTCGCTGAGGCTCAGAAGAGCACTCTGGTGAGTCACGTCCTCGGAAACGTTATTAGCAAATTGAGCTGTGCTGGGCGATTTTTGTAGTTTTTATAATATAGGAAGAAGTCACTCCATTTCAACTGGATAATTTCAAAATTGTTGTATCCCTAACCCCTTCCCTCCCTTTTATCTCCCTCCATCCCTCCCTCCGTCCCTCCCTTCCTTCCTTCCTTCCTTCCTCCCTTCCTCCTTCCTTTCTCTCTCTCTCTCTCTCTCTCTCTCTCTCTCTCCCTCCCTCCCTCCCTCCCTCCCTCTCTCTCTCTTTCTTCCTCTCCCCCACCTCTTTCTTCTGACAGGGTCTTAGTACATGCAACCCTGGCTGTCCTGAAATTTGCTATGTAGACCAGGCTGCCCTGAATAGACAGGGCTCTGCCTGTTTCTGTGTCCTGGTGCTGGGATTAAAGTGTTACCATTCCTGGCCTCATTTGTATTCTTGGGCAGTGAATGTGTATTTTGATTAGTGCAAAAATATTTTAAATTGGTGCTTATTCAATCTACATAGTAAATTTCATTCAAGTATTTAGTAATGTTGAATCTTTTCAATCTGTGTCACCTGTATCCCATCAAACCCTTTTGCTTCTCTAGACAGTTTGCACATCTACTTTCATGTCATACACACACGTCTGAATTTATGTATCTGTGTAAAACCCAGGACTCACAGATGAGAGAAAACGTGTCCTTGTCATTTCCAGTCTGATCTAATTTACTTATTGTGATGATCTTCAGTTGCACCCATGTCTTGCAAAGGGCATAGTTTTGTTCTTCGTGGTGGGATAAAATCCACTGTGCATGCATGTACTTTGTTTACCCACTCCCCTGGTGTGGATGCCTTGCTTGGTTCCAAACCTCAGCTACCCTGATCGGTGCTGTATTGACAGTGGTGTGCAAGAGTCTCTGTGACGTGTGCATGTGGAGTCATGCGTGCAAGTATTCAGGGGTGGTTAGCTGGGTCATGTGGTAGAGAGAGCTTTAGTCTTTTTGGAGAATTTCCACACTGATTTCTGTGGTGTCTGGGCAAGTGTTAAGGTAGAGTGGAAACTGAGGACCTTACCGTCTTACTCTCGCACTATGGGAATGGCAGTGCGAATCACAGTGGGGGGCAAGACTTGGGGCCCTTTTACTTCTGTTTCTCTTTTCAGAGAGGGTCTCACTGTGCAGCTCTGGCTGTCGTGGACTCACTGTGTAGATGGGGCTGGCCTGGGATTCACAAAGATCTGCCTGTCTTTTCCTCTCCAATGCTGCAATTAGATGTGTACACCGCCACATCCGGCTGGATCTTCTAAAAGAAGAAAAACTTGTCAAAATGACTCTTAAGCATACTTTGAGGCCACTGGGTGACAAGGAAGAAACGAACCAAGCAGGGGTCACAGATCAGATTTGGTGCATCAGAGGTTAAATTCCCTCCAATGGTGACCCGTCAGTGACAGCGAATCCTGTTGAGTGTGTTCATGGTCATGTTGTCAAGGAAGGGACAGTCCAATTGTTGACCCTTTCTGCCTTCAATTTACCATGAAATAATTTTATTTGAACAAGCATTGGCTTCTTGCAAAGAACCATTTGCAAATAGTAAAATTGTTGATAGCATATTTAGAAATGAAGCTTGATTAACTGTGAGGAGGCTGGGTGTAGATCAGGGGTCACATGTGGGGTGCTGCCACCCTCAGGCTGGGTGTAGATCAGGGGTCACATGCGGGGTGCTGCTACCCTCAGGCTGGGTGCAGATCAGGGGTCACATGCAGGGGTGCTGCTACCCTCAGGCTGGGTGCAGATCAGGGGTCACATGTGGGGTGCTGCTACCTTCAGCATCACTCCTTGAGCTGGCATTTCTACTGTGAGAAGGAAGTTGTATGTCATGCAAGCATCAGCAGGCTTGTTTCTGTCTTTTGGGGCTTTTCCTCACTTGTTTGTTTGCGGCTAGGGTGAGGTGATGCCTGGTGTCTGCATTTGTCCTCACTGTGCCCTAAGCCACCTCCCTTTTCACTGAAGCAGTCAAATGCAGAAAGACGTTGAAGGGCAGGCAGCATGAAAGGAGACATCACACCCCTCACACATCTGTCTTTCATTTTACTGCTCACAAGTAATCATTTGATAGGCATTCAAGGCCCTGCAGAGACAAAGGTGAACAAAACACAGGTGAGTGGCTACCTTGCTTTCTTTCCTCTGCCTTTCAGCCACCCAGCTGTCCCTGTCGATGGTTAGTGGACCTCCTGTGCTTTGCAGGATGTTCTCGTAGACTACTGGGTGGCAGGATGTTCTCGTAGACTACTGGGTGGCAGAGGCAGCTAAACAATGATGCAATGATTAAATCAAGGACTTCAATCCATGACAAATGTCTCTGAAATCACTCTGATTCTTAGCCTTGAACAAGAACATATGAAAAAGCATGCAGAAATGGGCTGTAAGTATGTGGGCTCGACTACTAGAGCATGAGGGCAAGTGTGAACTCCTCCCACAGCAGACATTGCAGCTCCAAAGAAGAAGCAAACCTTTCGCTACCTGGAGGACCAGCCTCCAGCAGTGCAGGCAGGGCTTGATGGGAACCCAGGGAGTCAGGGTAACTATGACCTTCTTTATCTGAGGGGCAAGGGGAAAGATACTCACACACTCTTGGTGCTTTCCTTCTTCTGGATCCTTTACTCTGTGTTCTATTCTCTCTCCTTATCTCTCTCCAGAAATGTCCTTTCTGTCTCTCTCAATGTTTTCCTTCCTACTCTACCTTCATTCTTCCTTATTCTCACTCTTTATTTTTCTTTGACAGCTTATACACCCCAGCAAAATCTTTCAATATAAAAGTTATAATGTGGTTACATTCTATATTTCAAGCAAGTGATTATAATGAATACAAGTAAGAAACAGCATGTTTTCCATATCCCTTACTTACATGAGTAAACATTTTACATATTACAGGTAAAAAACAAGTTGTCCAAAGAACCCATGTATGTTCATAACCAAACAACTTGTTATAGATTAACAGAGTGTAAGCAAGCAAGGTATTCTTCTCAGTCAGGTCTCTTATTGGCAGGCTGTGTTTTGCAGTTACAAAGAAAGGACCAATCACTTTATTACTTGTCTTGAAAGGTAATCTTATAAGGAATCACAAACCTAAACTTTTATATATGAAAAAGAGCCAGCTCTACTTTAAATCTTTAGTGTGCCTACCCACTCACCAGTAGTTTTTTATATCAAGAGATTGAGGGCAGAAATGGGTACAAGGAACTAATCATCTTTGATCACCAACCAGTCCTCGAAAGGAAACTCCATCAGCTAGTAGTAATTGGACTGCTTTGTTTTTGATCCCTAACCTCAAAGCTACTATCAAAATCTTAATCTGAGGTCATTCTAATGCTTTGTTTCAGCTATTATGCACCCTGAAACCTGTGAACATATCTCCCAACATTATTATTAAAAGAATTTAAGCTAGCTGGGCTATTGGGACTCAATTTTTTTTAATCATTAATCTAAGTCACAGTCTATACAGCTCCTCAGTAGAAACTCATGTGTTCTAGCTGTGTGACACTTCCTTATTTTATTTTCTATCCTCTGATCAGAGGCAGGGGCAACACTATATCCTTCCTTTACCTATGTTAATTTTTCCACTAAACTGACCTCTATCATAATCCCTCACTATATTTATTAAAGACCCCCAATCACCAAAATCCTAGCACTATTATTATATAAAATCATTGTTTCAGTTAAACAGTACAGCTTAGGAGGAAATCATCTTCACAATAATCTGCAGGTAAAAATGCTGAGTAGAACAGGATATTTCCATGAGATAAACACACTACATTATAGGCAGTGGGGATCTCCCCACACCCATTCACATCATGCCAGATAACAGAGAAAGATGGTAGCAGCAAACATGTGAAGGCACAGCAGAGGCAAAAGACACTCTGGGGTCTGTGGTCTCGGGGCCTTGCCTATCTGAGATTCACTCTTCAGGGTTGTATTTCCTGGTGGGCTGGTCCCCTGAAGCCAGTTACCACCTGCTGCTCCTCTGACATGGCCACCAGCACAAGCCACCCTTGTCCTTCTGTGGTGACATTGAGGAGAGACACAATCAATAGGAGCCATCACTCACGGACCACATGCTAACATCATACTCACCTGCAGATGCTGCTCAAGGAAACCATGGGAAGTTGAAGAACTCGCTTTTATATAAATTAAAGAAATAGAGGCAGATGTGGCTCTAAGTGAACAGATATTTTGGAGTTACCTCCTTGGTCACCCCTTCATTCTAAAGCTGAGGAAAATTCTTGCGTTGGTGACATACATGCTAAAGTTGGGATGATTCAGAGAATGTGTGCATGGCCCCTGGGTGTGGATGAACACAATCTGAAGAGGCATTCTATACTTTGTGTGCATTTATGTGTATGCATGTGTGTGTGTGTGTGTGTGTCCATGCGTATGTGTGAGTGGCATGTGTATATATGTTAATGTATGTATGTGTGTATGTATGTGCTTGTGCAGGTGCATGTGTAATATACCTGTGTATGTTTGTGTATGTGCACATGTATGTCTATAATGTATCTATGTGTATGTTGGTGTATGTGTGAATGTGTGTGTGTGTGCATTTGAATGTATGTGCATAGGTGTGTATGGATGCATATGTGTATATATGCATTTATGTGTGTGTCACAATACTAGGGAATTATATCAGGAGAGGAAGGTATTTTAAAGGAGAGAGAGCAGAGAGGTTTATGAAGTACATGTAGTAAGAGAGCAGAAGATGGCATCAGTTGGGAGAGGAAGAGGAGCCACCTGGAGGGGAGAGAGGTCACGGGGGAGGACAGGAAGGAGGGGAGCAAATAGGAACACAATATGGCACATTTGTATGAAGAGGCTGTGGTGAAATCCATCACTTTAACATCAGAATGAATGAAGTTGAGATTTCAGCACTGAACTGAGCTAAACCTGGGGGTTTTCTAGTGTGACAGTGGCCGAGCTGTTCAGAAGCAAGGCCTCCCGCAGGCCTGAGAGTCTCTGGTCCTGCCTTGGTAGTGTAGTTGGCTGCATCGGGCACTGCAGTTTCTTCCTTTATCTTACAGGATTATTCCACCGAGAGGCTGAAGAAGACAAATGAGATACTGAAAGGCATCAAACTCCTCAAGCTGTACGCCTGGGAGCACATCTTCTGCAAAAGCGTGGAAGAGACGAGAATGAAGGAGCTCTCCAGCCTCAAAACCTTCGCGCTCTACACGTCACTCTCCAGTGAGTCACCATCGTCACTCTGGGTGACCAGTATGTGCAGTGCTAAGTCTGGCTTATAGCGATGAAATGTTCTAGTCCTCAAAGGAGGTCCGTTATTGTCTCTACATATTTCACCCCGTCTCCACTCGCCACACGATGCTCTTTACACTGCATCTGGCCCTTTGCAAGTTGTTTTTGGCTGTGGTACTTCATGTATTGAAATCCTTGGTACTTTTTTTAAACTTTACTTTAATTTGATGATGTGTGTGGGCATGTACATCTGTGGCACATGTGTGGAGGTCGGAGGCCAGCTTTGTGGAGTGAGTTCTCATCTTCCATTTTTACATGGGTGCCAGGGATTGAACTCAGGCTGCCAGCCTCCTACAGCAAGCACTGAGCTGTCTCACCTGGTAATATGAAAACGGTCATGACGTGAGGTGGTAGCTCCAGCTGAAACTCTCATCCACTACAGTAGGGAAAGTCAGCTAGTTCTCAGTAAAAAGGGAACTATTTTTTTCAGGTGATTTGACTATTTTGCTAATGACCATCTCTAAGTCCTTTGAAAGCACGCACTCTGGTTTGTGTTATCTGTTTTGGAGGGCACTTCTGATAGACTTTCCTGAAGAGTAAATGAAGGTAGAGAAAAGCTTCAGGTGAAAGAAGCCAAACTTGATTGACTCACAGTTTGCTTTCCTAGTGTGTTCTTGAGAACATTTGCATACTGTTTCCATCTTAAGGACAAACTCAGTGTTTTCTGGAGTAATGGGCTTGCATTAGTATAGATCACACATGCTTAGTCAAATGTCACCCACTATTATTTGATTTTATTTGTGGGTCATTTTTGTTCCCAAAGATCTTTAAGGGCTTAGAGATTTGGAGGTTTATGCACTATTATTTCTTGAACTGTAAATGACTTTAGATCTTTGTGATGTTATATGCTTTTGTTCTGAACTGGAATTACAGTCAACATTGAGGGCACATTCTATTTTAGGTGCCATGAAAAGGGCTTTATACTCACTGGGTCTTGTATCTACATGACAATGGTGCCAGATTTTGATAAAACCCTGTGGTTTCCAAGAAGGATCCTAACAAACCATCCATCTGGTTTAATTATGACTCAAACACTAACATTTTTGGTGGTGTATGGCCATAGCCCCCAGCCCTTGGGATCTTAAGGCAAAAGGATTGCCTTGAGGTTCAAGCTAGCCTAGGCTACATTGAGAATTCAAGTTCAGCCTTAGGTACAAAGTGAGATGGTGTTAATAAACAAAAGTAAAGATAAAAACAGGGCCTGAAGAAATGGCTCTGCAGTTAAAAGCACATTCTGATCTTGTAGAGGACCTGGGTTCAATTCCCAGCACCCATATGTGGTGGTTCACAACCATCTGTAACTCCAGCTCCAGAAGGTCTGATGCCCTCTTCTGGCTGCCTCAGTCAGCTGCACACATATAATGCACATACATACACTCAGGCTCATACACATAGACATAAATTAAAAATAAATCTATAAGTCTTTAAGACAAAACAAGAAAAAAAGAAAGAAAAAAAATACTACACTAAACCCCTCTAGGATTTTAGCCTAAATTCTGAGTTGCCCTTATGTTGACTCTGTATTTATGGTTTAAGGAAGGGTGAAGATATAAAATTATTTATTAACTGAAAGGTCTAAAAGTGAAAGTTAATAACCCCTGTTGGATCCTGAGCATGAGGTAATGTCAAATTCTCATTTTTCATCTGCATAATAACCAAATTTTCATAACTTCAATTAGTTCCGTAGACCAAATAAAACATACAACCTGTAAATGCTCTCAGAAATACACATTTAAAAGATTCTAATAATTTGCATCATCAAAGGATTGTTTTATCTGAATTCTGTTGCTTGGAACATTTAATAAGAAAATTGTCATAATTCTTTAATAAAGAAAAGTGCTTTCTGGCTACAATGTGTATGTGGGAGCTCATGTAACCATGGGTGAGGAGACAGCCCTGGGGACTATTGGTGAGCCAGACAGAATGCTGCTAACATACTCTGCCATTCTAGTCTTCATGGAGCATTAGTAGTGGATGATTAATTTACATGGGGAAGATGTTTGTGCAGTTCAGTGAAATAACACATTTGATTTCTTCCCGCAGTCTTCATGAATGCAGCAATTCCCATCGCGGCTGTTCTTGCAGTAAGACACTTTTTCTTGCTTTTAGAAATAGAAGCATGTCCATGCTCATGAATGATTTCCAGCAGAGAGTGTGTGGGTGGCCATGGTTGTTACTTCCCTCATCAGTTCCTTCTCTGTAGTTTCCAACCCAATGGTTCTAGTCCAGGATTGCTCAGCCCTGACAGTGCAGATACTTTGGTTTAGACCATTCTTTGCTGTAAGGGGTTATCCTTAGCATTAGTATAAATAGTGGCATTCCTGACTTTAACCCTACTAGATGTCAGTACCTTGCCCAACCATGACAATAAAACCTATTCCCAAGGGTAGGTGAAGGTGATTAAAACTAACAGTGGTTGGAAAGTGTCCATCTTCATCATGGTGGCCTGGTTCTCATACATTCTTGTAACAAAATAGTTCATAGGAGCAACCAGGACATATTAAATAATTGCATTCTATTTCTCACCATATAGTGTTCACAAATGAGAATAAGTCTTCACTGGACTACAGTGTTGGAGTTTTTGTACAGTTGTACAGTAGAGACCTTTAAACGCTAGACCATTCTCTTTGCTTAGAATAGCGAGTGTGGGTTGCTTGGGAAGCATTTGGCTGGGTGTTGGGGACTCTGAGTTCTCTGCTCAGTTTATTCCTCCATGCATAGTAATTTGAGAGAAGCCACTTCCCTAGTCTATAAATAAGCTGTCTTGTCTGTCTCTCAAGTTTACTGCTAGGATCATGTGCAGATCACTATGTCTCATGAGTCTAGGGTAAAAAGTAATTATTCTTCATGGTTTCAGTGGACTTGGCAGCACGGGAGGAGATGCTGGGTTAGGCAGGCTGAATGTCAGCGTGTGTGTCCCTTGTACCACTTTCACCAGAACATTTTAAACAAACCTCTTTTGTGTTTTGTGCAGACATTTGTGACACACGCATATGTCAGTGGGAACAGCCTGAAGCCCGCAGAGGCCTTTGCCTCTTTGTCTCTCTTCCACATCCTTGTCACCCCCCTCTTCCTGCTGTCCACAGTGGTCCGGTTTGCGGTCAAAGCCATCATCAGGTATGCACTAAACCATCTGGGTGTCTTTGCTTATTGATGAATAATAAGTACCCCTGCTGGTGGATTTGCAAGAGTACAAAAGGAACCATAAAAATGCTGTCAGAGGTTACCATTGTTAGAAACTGACTATGTTAACTTTCAGTGTTTTAGTTCCTATGAAAGTGTTGTAGATTGGGGCTCCTTATTTTTCCTTTTTATTACTATATTTTTTATTATTTAAAACAATTTTTAAATTTAAATTATTTTGATCATATTCTTCCAGATCCTTCCCCTCCCCCAACCCAACTTAAAGTTTTTTCTCAAAAAAAACAAAAACAAAAATTGAATACAACAATAACCAAAAAAACAAAAACAAGATAAAAAAGTAAAACCACACCAAAAATCCACCAAATTGTATCCAAATAAACACACACACACACACACACACACACACACACACACACAAACACACACATGACAAAAACAAGAAACGAAAAACCATGGAGTCCACTATATGTTGGTCAACTACTCCTGAACTTGAGTCCTATCCTGGAGTGGCTTGATATACAAAGTGTCATGCCACTGGAGAAACTGATTTTCCCTCTCACAGTAGGAATAAGTGACAGTTCAGTTTTAACCTTTACCCTAGTGGATAAATTTTCATTCATTTGTTCATTCAGTTTTAAAAACATAACAAAATAAAATATAATAAGACAAAAGCTATCACATTAAAGTTGGACAGGACAAACCAACAGAAGGAAAAGAGCCTAAGAGAAGGCACAAGAATCAGAGACCCACTCATTCACACACTCAGGAATCTCATAAAAACACTAAACTGGAAGCCAAAATATAAACCCAGAGGACCTAGTGCAGGCTCATGCAGGCCCTGTGCATGCTGCCTCAGTCTCTGTGAGTTCATAGGAGCTTTGCTCATGTTGATTTAGAGGGCCCTGTTCTCCCGGTGTCCTCCATCCCCTCTGGCTCTTATACTCTTTCTGCCTCCTCTTCCCCAGGATTCCCTGACCTCTGAGGGATTTGATGGAGATATTCCATTTGGGGTCGAGTGTTCCAAGGTCTCTTATTCTCTGAATAAAATCTGGCAGTGGGTTTCTATATTTGTTCCCATCTGGTTCAGGAGGAACCTTCCTGGCCATGCCACAATCCATTCTTTAGAAACAGTCCAATTGAATATCAATTGGCTTTTTACCAGACATTTAGAATGTCTTTATTTCCCTGCCCACAACATGCTTAATTATTAAGCCAAACACCCCCTTTCATCTCTGAAGTCTTCTCTGATGGTTGGCTTGGGTCAGATTTATATAAGTGATGGTGACAGTTTTGGTGGTACCTTAAAGGTTCTTGATGGAGATGGCAATAATGCTTTTCATTTAAGTGATGTAGGCCAAAGCTTATACGTATATTTAATATGATGTAGGTCAAAGCTTATATGTGTATTTAATATATCTATGAACGTGGTCATGATGTTTCCCACTGAAGCTGTACCAGTCTATAGGTGTACCATCAGTGATGGAATATCTTTGAATCAACAGAATATGCTGCATGGATTTCAGTTTAATCTCCCCCCAAAAATTAATAATCCCAGCTCATATTCTTTGAGGATTAGAAAGACTTGAAAAACTGTTAATTTTCTCTTGCAAGTATGCTTCCAGCCAGGGTAGACTTTGTCTTGGTTATAAATCCCCATAACTGACAGCTACAAAAGCAGGTGTCATATGATGGTGACCATTTCCCACTTGTTCCGTTTGTACCACACACACAACTGTGTTGACAAGACACACCATGCTCTCTGTGCCACCATCTACTGTCCTAAACCACTGTATAAACAGGGCAGTCTTGAAGTCATATGCCACCCTCACTTTGCAATTTTTATATGCCTTGTAGACTCTTAGCATGTGCTGCACACAGCTTTTGTCATTTTTATATTTGACCTTTGAAAGAAATGTCTACATGCTCCAACACTGAAGAAAACCTGAGCCCTTAACGAGTACCCCTTAAGGGTCCATTACACCATCAATAGCAAAGTAGAACATTTCAAAATGAAATAATTTCCACAAGGCACATACATTACTGAGATACCTTGCATTTGATGCTCAATACCTTGGTTGTAGGCAACAGTTTATACCGACTTGCCATAGATTAACTACCAGATAATGTTAGAATGCAGATGAGCTATCCAGAAAAGCACTAGGTTCAGATGGGGTGGGGTTGGGGGATGGCATCCTAATGCAGCTTCAATCCTCTTCTCTGAGCCAGGTGATCAGCAACTGCTCCAAAGCTGCTGAGCTTTAGAGCTCATACGCTCTGGTCTCGGCTACCCTCATTTCTTCTCTCATTGTTCTGCCTTTGGATGACTTACATAGATCTGTAGTTCGCAGTCAGCCTTCCAAATTAGGCAGCACTCTGGAAGGGAAGCCGCTTCAAGCAATAAAACCGATAAATAGCCAGAGTCTGCTATTTTGGTCCTTATTTTCCTTTTCTCCGTTTAACGGCCATCCCTTCCATGGTTGTAGTCTTAATTAATTGAAACTTGACTCTGAGCTAGAGGTCGAAATAAAAAGCAATCTGTAATGTATAACATATCACGACTTTGAAATAAGGAGCCTGCCAAACATTAAAAGGACTCGGGGAGTTGGTTTGAAAAAGACAAAAGAACTCAAACGCAATGCTACAATCCCAGTGCAGTGGAAGGTGGGCAAAGCCCTCTGTGGATTTCTCATGGCCCTCTCCTTTATCCCTCCCGGGGAAAGGCATTTGCCAGTTTGATAAAGCCCAGCGTACTTCCAGGGCCCCAGGCCAGCTTCTCCAAGCCACAGCCCAAACAGAATGTGCTTCTAAAAGCATACTTCTCTAAAATGATGTCCAGGGTTGATTTGCAGGTCCTACAGAGACGGTGGGTCAACAGAAGTGGCCAGACCTTTTTCCCACTGGGTTCTGGGAACCCAAACAAGCATTTTCCCAGTGTTGACTGGCTTCTGCATTTGCTTCAGTGCCTGGGAACCCGTGACCAATCTCAAATGCCAGTTGGCCAGCAGTGAGCTGAGCCGCCTGTTTATAATTGGAGACTTTGGTCAGCTGATTTTGAAATCTCCTCTTCAGGACTCTAGAAGTCATAAGTTCTTCACTGGACTCTTAAATATATTCAGAAACTTGGTGGGTTGGAATGGGCTGAAGCAAACTCCTGAACATCTGCTATGTGTGCATGAGAGAAACCGAGAAACCTCTTCACTAGAGGAAAATGCAAGGCCATAGAGAATTCCCTGCCCCAGGATAAGTCCTGTACTTTCCTTTGAAAGAGTTCATATCGATAGCCAGGTAGCCTTGTGATGTTCACTGGGTAAAGCATGTGCACATGCACACATGCGATACACCTGTTATTACATTACATATTACATTTATAACAAAATGCAACCAAGAGCAAATGGGATCCAAGTTGTCTTGGCACAACCTCAAACCTCCCACCCTGTTTGAGTTTTAGGGTGAAGTGTTGCAAAACAGACTAAAGATATGTCACCTGTTATTTAAAATTTAACTCCAGCTCCAGGGAATCCAACAGGCCTCTTCTGGCCCCTGCAGGTAACAGGCATGCTAGAGGTGCACCGATGTACACATGAACAAAACACCCATACATGTGAAATTAAAATTAAAAATATTAACGCTCTTATAAAAAAGAGCAGGCCTGGTGGCACATGTTTGTAATCCAAGGACTTGGGCGGTAGAGGCAGGAGGGTCAGGATTTCAGGGTTACCCTCTGCTCCATATTGAGTTTAAGGCCAGCTTGTGCTCCCTGAGACCCTGTCTCAAACACAAAAAGCATTTGAGTGAGTAATTTTTTTTCACAATGCTAAACCTTATTCTCCACTTCCATAGGAATAATTTATGTGTTTTGCCCTTCTGGAGTATTCCTTATAGGTATTTGGTATTTAATACATAATGTAGTAACTATTTCCAAAGATGTTATTTGCCAGAAGAAAAAAATACTATTAAAGAAACCTCTCTTTTCCAGTGGAAAGTAACAAGAACAGCAATCATTGTCTTTTCTCTTCTGTGCCTCTCAGAGACATTTCTGCTTGGCACATCTCTTGCATCCCCACCTGTAAAATAAATAGTTACTGATACTTATTATCAAGCATGCTTACACCTTGGCCAGGTCTCTGTATTTCAGTTGACAAAACGTCATACTCTCTATCAAAAACCATGCAACTATCAGCCACAAAAATCAGTTATTCTTCAGGACTATAATACCTGTTCAAGGTTTTCAAATTGCATCTAAATATCCAAAATAATATTTGAAGGGTTGGAGTGGTGACTCGGTGGGTAAGATCACATAATGATGACTCAGTGGGTAAGATCTCATAGTATTCTTCCAGGACCCAAGTCAGGTTTCCAGCACCCATGTTAGACTGCTCCCCACCTCCTGTAAGTCCAACTACAGGGGATCTAACACCCTTTCTGGCTTCCCCTAGACACCTGTACTCCATGCACACACCCATAAGAGACACATAATCAAAAACAAAATATATATTAAAAAACCAAAGTAGTATTTGAGAAGTGAACTGGTCGTGTGCATATGTAAAACTGTAAACACTTCTGTCAGTTTCCTAAACAAGTGAGACATTAGTAAACTGCTGAGCTTAACAGTGCTGAAGGCAGGCCAGCAAACTTATTGGTATCAGCTATGCCTACTTTCAAATCCCAGGCATAAAGGTGCTTATTGTTCAACTTTAGGTGTCTTGTGTGGTTGTATCTGAGACTCAGTTTTCTCATTTATCCAATGAATACCATAATATCACCTGCTTCTGAAAGCTGATAAAAACATGACAATGCACAGAAATGGCCAGAACACTTTCTAAATACTGTAGGTCTTTTTACAAATCTCAATTTTACTCATTTATCACCATTTTTACCACCTAGTGCCTGAGAATATTATGTGGGTCTTCATTCTCTGGTGGCTGCATTAATAACTGCAAAGAGGAGAGATAGGTAGCAATGAGCAGAGAGTCCACTGTGCATTTAGAGAGGCCAAGAAGCAAAATGAGTCCCTATACACAGAATGGCATGGCCTGTAGATGACCATCAGTTTATTTAGTGGAGTGGAAGGTTGTCTGGTTCCCGATGGTCTGAAGGGTATGGTTGTACTTGCTAACTCTAAAAGGATACGTGGCTTTTGACTAGTTGGAGAAAGAGGAAAATGAATTTTATTTAGTAGAGAGAGGAGTAAGTACCCTAGATGTCTTAGTGTACATGGGGGGCAAAGGTGGTTTTGTGTGGATGGAGAAATGATTCTGACACGAACTCTCAGGGGACAAGGCTGGGAGGTGATGGGGAAGATGTTGGAAGGCGGCGAGTAAGTACTGAGCCGTTTGATGTCTGAGAACGGGCTTCTTACATCCACGTGTTTGCAGTGTAAGGGTAGTGTGGCTAAAGCAGCTTCACCTCTGGTCAGGATTTGTGCATTTTCCGAAGTTATGTGTCTCAGTGGCTCCCGAAAGGCCTCATACAAGCAGGAGATGCTTTTGCTACTCATTAGCCACTTACTCTCTCACCAACCTCACAGAGGAATCACAGCGCACACACTGAGGTAGCCCCAGAGCACAGAGAGCTATCCTTTTAAAGGTGCTCACAGTCTAATAGGAGAGATATAAATAACACATGATACCAAAGCTATGATAATGCACTAGTATGTGGGACCTTCAGCCAGAGAGCCTAGGTTAGTGGTTCTCAACCTTCTCAATGCTGCAATCCTGTACTACAGTTCCTCATGTTGTGGTGACCCTCAACCTTAAAATTATTTCCTCCCTACTTCATAACTGTGATTTTGCTACTGATATGAATAACAATGTAAATATCTGATATGCAGGATATCTGATATGCTGCCTCCTTAGGGGTTGTGACCCACGGACTGAGAACTAGTGGCCCAGAGGAAAGGAGCAGGAAGGTTCAGAGGTTTAACCCTGGATACCATCTATGGACATTGTAACTGGAGGCGCCAAGAGGATATGTCTCAGCTTTACTTCTGTTGACACGATAAATATTTTGACTCAAGACAACTTAGATGAGGAAAGGGTTTGTTTCAATTTATAATTCCAAATCACAGCCCATCATTTAGGGGAGTCAAGGCAGGAACTTGAAACATCAGCTGTAGAGGAATGCTGCTTGCTGGCTCAACTGGAGGGCTATGCTTGCTCAGCTTTCTTATTCTGCTTAGGGCTACCTCCCATAGGGAATGGTGGTTACCCACAGTGGACTGGACCCTCCTGCATCAACTGACAATCAAGGCAATCCCCACAGACCCACCCACAGGTCATTCAATCAATAGGTGATCCCCACAGACCTGCCCACAGATCAATCAATCAAGGTCATCCTCACATACTCTCCCACAGGTAAATCAATCAAGGCAATCCCCACAGACCCACCCACAGGTCAATCAATCAATAGGTGATCCCCACAGATCCACCCACAGGTCAACCAACCAATGCAATCCCCACAGACCTGCTCACAGGTCAGTCAATCAAGGCAATCTCCACAGACTCACCCAGAGGTCAATCAATCAATAAGTGATCACCCCCCGCCCCAGACCTGCACACAGGTCAATCGATCAAAGCAATCCGCTCAGACCAGCCCACAGGTCAGTCGATCAAAGCAATCCCCATAGACCCACCCACAGGTCAATCAATCAATAGGTGATCCCCACAGACCCACTCACAGGTCAATCAATCAATAGGTGATCCCCACAGACCCACTCACAGGTCAATCAATCAATGCAATTCCCACAGACCTGCCCACAGGTCAAACAATCAAAGCAGTCCCCACAGACTCGCCCCCAGGCCAATTTGATGGAGGAAATCTTTCAATTGAGATTCTATTCTCAGGTGACTGTAGGCTTGTGTTAGGTTGATAACTAAAAGCTAGAAAGAACAGGATGTTCCACAGAGAAGAGAAAGTTCTTTCCACTCCCAGTGTAGCTGAGGAGTCATGCTTTCTCAATGTTCAGCAACGTTAAGGCTTATGTATTCTGTAAAAGCTTCAGTGAGATTTGTGTGCATACTAGAAGGGAGAAATGGTGACTTGGACCCACCAGATATAGTATGTGAATCATTAGTCTGTTTATCCTTTGATTTATTGAGCAAGCATCCATGTAGCAATGTGGGCCAGGCACTGTTAGGCCTGGAGGTCAAGACTCATGAGTCTGGTCTTGGCACTTGGCCTTGTTCAGAAGTACAGCATGAGGGTGTGCAAGGGATATTCTTATAGTTGACAAGGCTATTTCTTCAGACCACACCCTTTAAAACACGAGAGCACAATGGCAGCTACACCGTGCATACATCAAAAAGAAATGCTTGTCATTCAAGATGGATAGCATACCATTTCCTAAGACAGTTCCAGTGCTGTGATTTTTTTGGGGTCTATGCAGTCAGAGGTTAGTAATAAAGTCCCAGAGTGAACAAGTCAATTCTCTTCTTAGACAATTATCTCACCTAGTTTCCTGACACAGTGTCTCTTGGTTTCTTTCTGCAGTGTTCAAAAGCTGAATGAGTTTCTCTTGAGTGATGAGATTGGTGAGGACAGCTGGCGGACTGCTGAGGGCACGCTGCCTTTCGAGTCCTGTAAGAAGCACACTGGAGTGGTGAGCATTTGTCTTGCCGTACAGAGGACAGGCCAAACAAATGATATGTTTTAATGCAGTTAAAAAAAAAACATAAGCTTTATTTGTTTGAATCTACACAAAGAAAAATGGCTACTGGCTTCTACAAAAATCAGTCTTCATATGTCTGAAATCAATATACAGATTCAGGAATATTGCCTCTATAAATTGTGAGAGAATGGCTCCCTTCTTGATTCAAAAGGGAATTGAGAAATTGTTTCTTCTTACCCACATTCTTAGGAGGTGTTTTAGCTCTAGCACACATTTTAGTTTAAGACATGTTTCCTGGTACATTAAGTATTTTGATTCACTTAACATATTATGGTACATTACTTGTCTTTATTTTCATCTGAAGACACTGGCTTTGCATGCTTCAGTGGCTTAAACAAAGTCATAAGGTTAGAAGGGCCAGAACCAGAATTTTAACCTGAGTCTTTTCACTTGTAAACCGGCAGGTTCATTCATCCTCGCCAAAAATATTTACTCAATAGCTGCATAAGGTCTGGAAGCAGTCAGTACTGTTTGGACGTGCGTCATACGCAGTAGAAATCAACCACTTGTCAACCACTTGTCATGTGTTCAACAGGCTTCCAGACTCACTGGTTACCCTGTATTTAATGCCAAGAACTAGACTGTCACTCTGAACAAGGCACACAAGGTCTCTCCCAGCATGGCTTGTTTTCCATTTTTGAAATGACAAGACCATTTCCTGTGTGGGAAAAAAAGTGAAAAGGACATGAAAAAGTGAAGGGGATTCTAAATTAGGGTAGCCATTCACCTGATGCCCCCTCTGAGGAGCCGGCATTTGGGCCAAAACTTGAAGAACACAGATGCATGTCTTCCGGGGGGACACTGGGAAACAGGAAGGCTAGTGCATACGAAGATCTTGAGTGGTGGATTGATTTGGTTCATATAAAGAGCAGAAGGGCAGTGTGTTTAGAGCCTGGTGATAAAGAGGAAGATGAGGCACAGTTATGATAGTGACAGTGTCGGGTAGAACATGGAAAGGGATGAGGTTTACGGAAGTATGATGGAAGCCCTTGAACAAGGTTGCTTGCTTGTTTGGTTTTGGTTTGGGAGACAGTGCCTCATTTTCCCAACTGGTCTGGAACTCTATGCAACTGAAAATGACCTGGAATCCCTATTCTTCCTCCTACTTCCATATCCCAAATGCTGGAATTATAAGCATGGTATAATTTTACTTATTGTTCAAAAAGTTAACTTTCATTACTGAGAGAAGTCAGTAGGGCAAAGATTGGAACTGGGAGGTGAGTAGAGGTGGTTATAATAACACAGGCAAGAGATGATGGCTAGAATTAGAAGTTTGCTGCAGTTGTGGTGACTATGGTGAAGAAGTGATTAAATTCAGTCTGTCTCTGTCTCTGTCTCTGTCTCTGTCTCTGTCTCTGTCTCTGTCTCTCTCTCTCTCTCTCTGTGCGTGTGTGTGTGTGTGTGTGTGTGTGTGTGTGTGTGTGTGTGTGTGTGTGTGTTGCTCAGGACTGACCCAGGGCCTCATCCATGCTAAGCAAATGCTCTATCACTGAGCTACACCCCCAGATCCCTCTGTGTCTTTTGTATGTTCCATTAATAAAAATGTGTTGAAAGATAATATGGAACCAAGGAAGAAGGAAGTCTGGAGGATGGAAGCTTTCTGATTGGCTGACTGCTGGGTAGAGAGTGGAGCCATTCACTGAAACAGGGCACTGATTAAGGAGGCAGGCAATTACCATTAGGGTGGGATCAAGAGGTGTGTATTTTGCAGCTGATATTTTTACAACACTTCTTGTCATCCAAGAAGAAACATCAGCATTGGAGATGGAAATTTATGGAACATAGGCCATGAGATAAGCTTTAATAATGCGACTGGTTGAAACCTTTCTTTGGTTACGGAGGTGGTTCTTTTTGTAAAGGGATAGTCACACAAGCATGAGGACCTGAGTTTATACCCCCAGCATCCACATATAATTCTGAGTGTAATGATGTACCTGTGTAATCCCAGGGCTGGGAAGGCAGAAATAGGAGGATCCCTGGGTTTTGCTGGCCATCCAATCTAGTAGAGAGACCCTGTGTCAAATTATACAGGGTAGAGCAGTGAAGGATGATATCTAGTCTCCACATGCACAAATACACACACCCCCACACACTAAATAAATAAATAAATAAGTGAATAAATACAAACCACTTTCATAAAAGGTATGTCTGAAAAATTCTGAAACAGTCCATTAAAAGCAATGTACATATTTCTTAAGAGTAAATCAGTACATGCATCATGTTATTATAACTTACTATTAGTCATTTACATAACTGTTTGAAAAAACATGAATACATTTGTCACATGCTCGACCCATTGAAAATGTACATCAGTTTTCTGAGTCTTCTGAGTGGAGGTGAATGGAACTCAGAAAGTCCTTACCAGGAAATCCATCTGTATTACAATTTTCTTTATATTGTGTTTAAAACTGCTAAAAATAGTTAAGCCAGGTGCCTGAATACTTTTATATGTACTGTTTTATTTGCTTTTCTGTAAAGTAAAAAAAAAAAAATCTTTTTGGCCGGGCTGTGGTGGTGCACACCTTTAATCCCAGCACTTGGGAGGCAGAGGCAGGCAGATCTCTGTGAGTTCTAGGCCAGCCTGGTCTACAGAGCGAGATCCAGGACAGGCACCAAAGCTACACAGAGAAACTCTGTCTTGAAAAACCAAAAAAAGAAAAAAGAAAAAAAAAGAAAGAAAGAGAGAGAGAAAGAAAGAAAGAAAGAAACAATCTTTTTGGTTGTCTCGTTGAGCGGGTATAATTTTTGTCTGAGAAATAACTGCCATGTGTGCCTGTCTATGTTGCCACAGCAAGACTGTAAAGGATGTTTGATGTTGTGTGGACATGTGCATAAATCCAAACACACATGAATGGCTGGCCAGTTCAGGTTAAAGCAGGGAGCTTATAGTGTCCCAGTCATGGGTTGCATCTCTGCATGGACCACACAAAAAAATTCATGAGGGCTAGAGAAGCAACATAAGAACATTTGATGTTCTTTCAGTGAATCTGAGTTTGGTTCCTGGCACCCCAGTTGGGCAGCTCACAATCACTTGTAATTCCAGCTCCAGGGGATCAAATGCCCTCTATGGCCTCTTCTGTCTCTGTATGCACCTACACAAACCTGTACACACACACACACACACACACACACAAATCTTTAAAAATACATTCAAGTGTATCTATATTTTTTAAGAGAAAGAAAATCAAAGGTTTGATTAGAACCAGCTCCTAACACTTTTGATGATCTTACTCTCCCAAAGAATGCATTAGACCATTTTCTAGGGAGGCAGATTGAACAGAGCAAGACAACCTCAAAGAAAGGGGAGGTCAAGTTCATGGAGTTGGAGTTATCTGAAGAATTGTTTTCTGTACGAGATGAGGCAGAGGAGTAAATTACACTGCACAATGAATTCTGGAAGAAAAAAGAATCTCCTTCAGACACATCCAGTATCTCCAGTTATTGAATCCAGGTTGGACTTCTAGTGCCGTCGAGGGTCATTCATCACTGTGGACGGCCCAAACCACAAATGACAAGCTTTTTAAAAATGCCGTGTGTTTGAAAACAATACTAATGGAAACTCGTCCTTGAGAGTGCTTGGGATGCTTATATTCTGTGAGAGCTTAGAGTTGAGTGATTTTGGCTGTAGCATTGCCACAGAGAGTTGGTAATATTCTAGGGCCAAAGTCTCTTCAAATTACATCGATGGAGCTGTGACTCAAGTCTCTGTCAACACGTCTCTGCTTGTCATCCTTGCCTTAGTCCCACAAAGAGCATGAAGTCATTCTTCTGAGCCTCTGGGGCGGCACTACCACAGTAGTCATGACTCTAGAAGTTGGTGATGCTAGAATATAGGTACAGATCTACTCAGCGTGCAAAGTACATCCACCCTAAAGAGTTGTGGTAATTCGAGAATGTTCTGTTCACTGTGCTTCCAGTGTTATCTGTGAGGGCTGTGGGGAGGGCAGACATAATATTTCATCACCCACCCCCTTTTCTTTTAAAGCAAGATGTGTGTGTGTGTGTGTGTGTGTGTGTGTGTGTGTGTGTGTGTGTTTCCTAGATGGCCTGACCTCTGCTGTTCCTCTGATATCTGTTTTCATACTGAGGTTTTGGTTTGTGTTGCTCTCATGAAGACTTGGCATTGTTCTGTTTGATGGTTAATGTTCTTTTGGAATATCAATTAATGGAAGCTGGAAAGGCAGTATCTTGTTGGGATTAGATCACTGGTTATTTTCAGACATTGTTAGTTCTCACAGAAGTTATCTATTTTTTAAATATTAAATCTGAAATTTCAGACAGAAATATTTCATGCTTCTAGAGTCATTTGCTTTTCTAGGCAAATTAACAGTTTTAAACTGTTACATTTTAAACCCAATCATCTCTACAAGATATTTCAATAAGACATATAATTATTTATGGAGAACTACTTCATTGTTAAATTTGTAGAAAAAAAATGAGCTTCTTCACTCTAAAATTTTTAAAAATCTTTTTAATGTGTATGGGTGTTTTACCTACATGTATGTCTATTCAGCACATGTGTGCAGTACCCATATAAGCCAGAAGAGGGCAGGAGGTACAACCAGTTGTGACCTCCATGTGGGTGCTAGGCTAGGAACTGAACCCAGGTCCTCTAGAAGAGCAGTCAGTGCTCTTAGCCATTGAGCCATTTCTCCAGGCCCTTGTGTGTGGATGTAGCTACATATGTATGTGTGTGCATGTTTCTCTTCATGTGTGTGTGAACTCCTGTGTGCAGAGACCAGAGGACAACCTTGGCTGTCTTTCCTTGGGTGCCATCCACCTTGTTTTTCAGGAGTCCCTCCCTGGCCTGAAGTGCTTCCTGTGAGTTGACTTGGCCTGTCTCCACATCTTCAGTGCTGAGCCTGCAAGTCCTGCCAGCATATCCAGCTCTTTTTTCTTTTTTTAAAATTAGGGTTCTGGGTATTGAACACAGGTCTGCTTACAAGTATTTTACAGGCAAAGACACGCTCCTTCCCTTACTGCTGCGGTTTCCTTGTAGTGGATAGGTCTGTCTGCTGATGGAGAGTGTACTGCAATTGACATAGATCAGATCACAGTGTAGCTCCTATGGATCTCCTGGTGAAGCACTGACCATCTTTGTGTAGCAAAAAGTCCTAGGTCTTTTTCTTTTGATAGTCCACAATAGATTCCTGGGTGTGTTCTAGCTCAGTCTGATTTATGTGCACATGTCAGCTTCTCATGATTCCCAAAAATGATCATTAATATCCTCCTGGAATGTTTGTTTTTAAGTCTGATGGCTCTCCCAAATGGATTTCAATTTGTTCAGAGTCAATCTAATCAGCCTGTTTATAGTACACCGGGTTTAAAAAATATTTATTTATTTGTCTGTATATAACTGTGTCTGAGTGGTGTGCTTGTGTGTATGTGTGTGTGTGTGTGTGTGTGTGTGTGTGTGTGTGTGTGTGTGTGTGTAGGTGGGCTCACAAGCCTATGTACACAGAGAGGCTTGGTGAGGGTATCCATATCCTCTCTCACCCTCTGCCTATTCTTTGAGGCAAGGGCTCTCACTGAACCCGGGGCTCAGGTTTCCTGGGCTAGACTGACGCCAATAAGCTCCAGGGATCAGCACTCTGCCCACCATCATTTCCAAGTACTATATCTTTCTCTTTTCATATTCCCAAGAGGTCAGTTAATTAGTGTTAAAGTTTTAACTAGATACTTTTTTTCTCACCATTTGCTCTTGTGGAGAAGCCCCAGGGAAGACTAAAACTTGACATTCTCTTTCTTGTTTTTCTTGGAATTGAAGTGAAATAGCCATGTGAGTGAACATTCGGTAAAACTCTCAGTGTTTTTATAAGGCTTCAACTTCTGTCCTTTTCTATTTGGAACACAGCAATCAAAACCAATAAACAGGAAGCAGCCTGGAAGATACCACCTGGACAGCTATGAGCAATCTCGCCGTCTTCGGCCAGCAGAGTCAGAGGATATTGCAATCAAGGTTAGTTCATCTCTTATGTTCTTACGTAAGTGGAAGCGTTTATGTTACATTCTAGGCTGACGTCTGCACAAGTGTCCCAAATGTGTCTTCCGGGTCTCTTTACTGGGATCACAGCCCTGACAGTCTTTAAAGCATATGCCAGTGAGTTTATAATTCTTTTCTTCACTTCTTGACCACAGGTTCAGTTTCAGCCTGGTACTCAGAAAAGAACATTTCTTTCAAATCTACCTGAAGCTAGTATTCAGCTCATTCCTCTAGTACTCACATATAAACTGATTCGTAGAAAACACCAGTATTTTTTAATTCCATTTTTAAAAGAAAACAAGGAGAAGTTAGTTGTTGCATGGTACTATTCCTAGAGAGATGTGAATGAACATCTACTCAGCAAAGATAGGAACTAATGACAGAGCAATGTAACGGCACCATTAGAGTTCAGCTTGGTGAACCACTGAGTCTATTGGGGTTACTTACAGAAATATGGTCAGGGTCAGGGGTGACATACAGGACCACAGATAACACAAAGCCGCTACATCCACTCCAGAATGGATGATGACTCAGGGAAGCTGGAACCCAGGATCTCAGCACAAATTGTAGGGAACTTGACAGGTCAGAGAGTCACCTCCTCAGTCTTTACTGGTTGTATATTACTAGGGATTGATAGGCGATATGAATCTTGTAACTTTCAGATACTTCTTTATACTTCTGAGTTGTTTATTGCCTGAGTCTCAAGGAGCCTTCCCTTTGAAATTCCTGAGTCTTGATAAGCTTCCCCACAGGACAGAATGTTTCAACTGGGAAGAAATTGGTTCCCAACATGAATATATGTACCGTACAGTTTTATTCAGCTTATCCTGCCCCACAGTGCTTTTGATATAGTTTCAAACTTGGCTTTATACTTCCCCCGGCCTTTTGTGCTTAGGCAGAACTCAGGTAGAAATGGCAGCTTTGGGGGCACATCTGGGAACTGATGGCTGGGACAAATCCCAGGGAGAGGCCAGTGATAAGCAGGTTCCAGAAGAGAGGCTCCTGGACATTGTAGTGTCAAAGTCCTAGAACATTTCCCTTTTAGAAACTTCTTCTCCAGGTCCTCTGCACTTCCCAGGCCAGGCCAAGGCGGTGAGGTTCAATGCCTGGCCTATAGAAAGCATGCAGCTGCTTGTTTAGAAGTGACTGTACATGTTCCAGGCTCTTGTCTGGCGGTTTCAGACCCGAATTTTTCTTCTTATGCTCAGATGACACTCTGGCAACTTCAGTCATTTCTCATACCTGTCACCAGAGACCTCTTAGTCATGTCCTCACTTTCACTGGTGACATCAGCATGCTTTTCTTTTCTAGTACATGACAGGTTAATATAATTTTTTCAATTTAAAGAAGTATGTATTTACTTGTTTGTTATTTGTATGTGCCTATGTATCCCTGTGTGAGTTTACATGTACCATGTGTGTAAGTGCTAGCAGAGACAAGAGGAGGGCATTGGATGGACGCCCTGGAGCTGGAGTTACAGTTGGTTGTGAGCCAAGTGATGTGGACACTGGGAACTGAACACATGAGCTGCGTGAGAGCAGCAGGTGCTCTGAACAGCTGAGCCCTCTCTCTAGCCTCCAATTCTTTGTTTCTGATTTATACCACCAAATACGGAGAACTCAGATTAGGCTGCTGCCATGTGCTGTAACTTGTGTTACAGTTGTAAACATTGGAAAGGGGCTGTCCTTTAGTTATCCACTAGTACCGCACATCAACTTAATTCCTATATTCTTATTTTCTAGGTGACAAATGGATACTTTTCATGGGGCAGTGGTTTAGCTACATTATCCAATATTGACATTCGAATTCCAACAGGTAAGACTCATTGCATAAGCATTTTTGTATTTTTCCAAGATAATTGAGCCTAACAAAAAGTGAAAGGAGGGCTTTATTTATGTTTATTTAATTTCCATTTCATGTGTGTATGTGTGTGTATGGTGTGAATGTGTGCATACATTGTTGCATGTGTGTGAGTGTGTGGGATGGGGTAGGGTGGGGGGTGAGTTCATATATGTGGAGGCTCAAAATTGAGGTTCAGAATCTTCTTCAATTAATCTTCCACCTTATTCAGTAAAGTAGGATCTCTCAGTTAAACTCAGAGCTCAGTGATATGGCTTGTCTAGCTTGCCAGCTTGCTCTGGTAATGTCCTGTCTCCATCATCTTGCTCTGGAAATGTCCTGTCTCCATCATCTTGCTCTGGGAATGCCCTGCCTCCATCTCTAGGGCTAACTGGACTTACTTTGGTTTTGGGAATCTGAACTCTGGTCCCCTTATTCTTAACCATTGATCTATCTCCCATCTTGCCTGCCTGTTAAAAGAGTTTAAAAAGATACAGCCATAAGTTTATATTACTTGTATGTACTAGGTTCCTCATGAGACAATTATATCACTGTGAACTAGAAATTATAAAACTGGACTGTCATTTAAAAATCTGTGTCTTTGGACAAAGTTATTTACTGTTCACTCAGTGATTTGAGGTACTTAAGGAATTGGGATTGTTGGTTTCTCATTGTGTTCGAGAGCAACTTTATTTATTTATTTATTTATTTATTTTTGAGACAAAGTTTCCCTGTGTAGCTTTGGCACCTTTCCTGGAACTCACTCTGTAGCGCATGCTGGCCTCAAACGCACAGAGATCCACCTGCCTCTGCCTCCCGAGTGCTGGAATTAAAGGTGTATGCCACCGCCGCCCGGTGAGAACAACTTTAAAGAAAGGCGATGTGTGAAAACATCTGAGGCCCTGAAAAATACTGATAGCTGTAGTTGGACTTTCTTTGGACCACCAACCCCCAAATAATGACATGGAGACATTATTAATTATGAAAGCTTGGTCTTTATCTTAGGCTTGTTCCCAGCTAGCTCCTATAACTTACATTAACCTGTTCATATTAATCCACATTCTGCCACATGGCTCTTTACCTGTCCTCCATTCTGTATGTCCTACTCCCTCCACATCTCACTGGCATCTCTTGTGGCACCAGTTTCTAACCTTGAGTTCCTCTTTCTGCTTGGAAGTCCCGCCTAACCTCTCCTGCCTAGCTATTGGCCATTCAGCTTTTTATCTAACCAATCAGGTGCCTTAGACAGGTAAGATAACAGTGACACATCTTTACACAGTTTGCCTAAATATCCCACAACAGATGGCACTTGTAAATACTTCAGGATCACCCATCTGGTCATTTTATTTGCGTATTAATTTTCTTTCCTTTAAGTTTTATTGAGGTGCAAACAGTCTACAATAGCTGCATCTGTTTAGTATTTCATTGTAGGCAGGCTCTCTTTGGACTGCCAGCTCCCAAATAATGACTTGGAGACTTCTTATTCATTATGAATTCTTGGCCTTAGCTTAGGCTTGTTCCCAAGTGGCTCTTAAAACTTAAACCAACCCATTTGTATTTATCTGTGTTCTGCCATGGGGCTCATATCTCAGTACCATGCATCCCACTTCTTCCATGTCTGGCTGGCCAGTTCCGCCTTTCTTCTTCTCAGAGTTCCTCTCTCCCCCCGGGAATCCCACTTACCCTCTCCTGCCTGGTTATTGGCCATTCAGCCCTTTGTTAAAGCAGTCAGATGGCGCCTTGTTAGGCAAGATAAACCAGTGACACATCTTTACAGTGTACAAAAAGTTTATCCCACATCATTTCATTGTGAGTTTCTTTAAAATAACATTTTTACTAATTCTTTCTGGAATTTTTACAATGTATTTTGATTGTTTTCACTTCCATCTTCCAACCCCACCCTCATGTTCTTATTCCCATAACTTTGAGTTTTTGTCTTCTTTTGTAAACCCATCAAACATAGTTTCTGTTGTTCAGCTACTCTTAGGAGTGGGGCCTGCCCTGAAGTATGGTTGATCTACCAGGGGTAACATCAGTAAGTAAAACTGACTGCCCTCTCCCAGCAGCTATCAGATGCCAACAGCTCCTCACGTGGCAGCGGGATCTCATGTCCACCTCCCCACCACATGCTGGGATTTTGTCTGGTTTGCGTTTGCACAGGTCTTGTGCATGCTTCCATGACTGCTGTGGTTTCATGTGTACCACTGCCCTGTCTGGAAAACACCAATTCCTTGAAGGCATCCAGCACCTATGGCTCTTAGAGTCTTTCTTCCTACTTCAAGAATTTGGGCCTAGTGTAGGTCTCTGATGCCATGGCAATCAAGAACTTAATATATAGCTGCTTCCAAAGGCCACTTCCTTTTATTGTTCTTTTACTTTATAAACTGTTGTGGGAAGAGCATACCATGAGCTATCCTGCCACATATTAGATGTTATGTTGAACAGGTATTGAAGCATTTTTGGGAAATGTATATCCATTAAACAATACCCCACAGTCCCCTTCCTCTATTTACTGGTAACCACCCTTACCATGTCTTCTTCTGTGAGTTTGACTGTTGTAAGTCATATTCATCACTCATGCAGTATTTTTCTTCTTTGTCCTACTTTACTTAGCATAATCCCACAAGATTCTGCTATATTGTTGAAAACAGTAGAAATTCCTTCTTTTGTAGATGAAAATTTTATTACATGTGTGTAGCATGTTTTCTTACCCTGTCAGTAGACATCGAATTGTTTCTATCTGCTTTGATATTGTGAAAAATGCTTCAGTGAATGTGGGAGCACAGACATCTTTTACTATCTGAATTTTAATTATTTTGTACAGACACTGAGGGGCAAGTTTAATGGTACATATGGTAGTTCTATTTTTAATATTCAAGTAACCTTCATACCTTTTTTTGTACTGAATGCTCATATTCTATTTCTCTGCTATTGAGTTGTAGGGAATTCTTGTGAATTTTGAATGTTAATACTACATCAGGTAGAAGGTTTGTGGGCATGTTCTGTCATTTTCTCTCTGTTCACTGTTTCCTTTGCTGTATCATTTATATTTTGAGGTATTTTCATTTTGCTATGTTTTGTTTTGTTTTCATTTGAAATCTAAAAATTCATTGCCAAGGCCAATGTGAAGAAGTTCTTTCCCTGTGCTTTCTTGGGAGGTCTTGACGCTTCACTCTGACTGTCAGGTCTTTGCATCACTGTGAGATGACTTTAGTGTGGAACCAAACAGGCAAATCCCATTCTTTGCAAGTGGACATCGGTTTTCCCATGACCACTTGCTTCTTCCCCACTGTGTGATCCTGGAGGGCTTGTGGTAGGTTAGGTGACATGGTTGGTTCTCAGCTCTCTTCCATCTGTCCCCCATGTGTCATTACCACACAGACCATGGAGGCTTTGCAATGTATTACTTGTAATATATTTTGGGTATGGGATGCTGAAGAAGTTTGCATTCAATCTGAAGATTATGTTGGGAAGCACGGGCATTTTAATAACATTAGTTTGTCAATCACATAAGCTTGGAGTTATTTCTATCTTTCTCTCTTTTCTGCACGCATTTCATCACATTTTTAGTGTGAGGCTCTTCTTCCTTGGTTAAGTTTTATTTCTGTGTTTTGAGGTACTAGCAACAAATTGTCCAAGAAGGAAATTAACAAAACAATAGCATTTATAACAGCACCCCAAGCACAAGCTGTGTAGGGATGGTTATAATAATTTTATTTCATATATTTGACTGAATAAAATATTTGCTCAATCTGGTGTAATTGTCAGTAGCTTGGACATTTTCTCTCATACCTGCAGGTTGAGGTGAGGAACTAGAGTCCTAACGGCATCCAGATCACTTTATCTCAACTAACTTTTGCCACAATCGCCCTTTTACTGCATGAATTCGACAATGAAGTTAAAGATAATATTGATAGGTTAAGAAGTTGTTTCTTTTATTCTTTAGTCATATCAGCTCTTTTCCATTTAAAGACACTAAAGCATGGTCTGTGATGTAGCTCGGTTGGCAGAGGCAGAAGGGTCAGAAACTCATAGCAAGTTTGAGGGCAACCTAGCCCACAGGAGATCTTTCAAGTAAAAAGTCAAGACTCGTAGGTTTTACTTTTTCTTTCCCTTTGCAAAAAGACAGGGGAAGGAGCTGTTTACTTCACTGCCTGGAGTCAAACTGGACTAGGGGTCGAAACACGAGGCCTCTCTAAATGTGTTGGAATTTCATCTGTTTTAAAAAATTTATTTTGGTGATTATTTTTCTTTTAGTGTTTGAGACAGGGTCTCACTTTGTGTTTCTTGTTGGTTTGGAACTTCCAATGTAGATCAGGCTGGCCTTGAGCTTGCACTGATCTTCCTAGCTGTCTGTCTTCCTGGTGCCGAGGGTCCCCCATGCCCACCATGGCTGGGTGTCTGTTTCATTTAGCTGTGTGAAATCCCTCTCATCTTTGTATCCTCTGCTTTGTTTCTCTAGGTCAGTTAACCATGATTGTGGGCCAAGTGGGGTGTGGGAAATCGTCTCTTCTCCTCGCCATCCTCGGTGAGATGCAGACCCTGGAAGGGAAAGTTTACTGGAGCAAGTAAGTATTCCTGTTATAGTTTCCTTTCTGTGGCTGTATAAACACTCAGACCAAAAGCAACTCGGGGAGAGGCGGGTTTTGTTTGGCTTACACGACCAAGTCACTGTCCATCACTGAGGGAAGTCAGGGCAGACAATCAAGGAGGGACTTGAAGTAGAAACCACAGAGGAATGCCGCTTGCTGGTGCACCTAGCTCACACTTCGTTAGCGCTCCTGTACAACCCAGTGTTACACACTTAGGGGATGGTGCCTCCCACAGTGGACTGGGTCTCTGTATATTAATTAGCAGTGAAAACAATTCCCCATAGACATACCCATAGGTGTATCTCATCAACTGAGAGAATTCTTTGCTCAGGTGACTCTAGGCTATAACAAGGTGACAGTTCGCACCACCTAAGAGGTTTCTGTTCTGTCACACAGCTAAAAATATTCCAAGGGAAAACTAGAAAAATGGGTCTCCATTTCCTGGACCATTGAATTTCTGAACTATGCAAATATATAAAAATAAAAATCACAGAAATATAAAAAAAAAAACAGTGGAAACCTCAAGTGTCATAAAAATTTTAAAGCAACTCACTGTGATAGTTAACAGCAGCAACTCACTGCCCTAGTTAATGGTAGTAAAATCTAGTAGATGCTAAGTTAAAGTTTGGGGTGGTAAAGACAAATTTTTGGATGTAAATAGGGAACACTCAAAGAAATTACAAAATTTATTCTGTAATAAAGTAAGTTATGGAAAGTTTATACTACCTATAAAGCTTAAATGTAAACAGATCATCAAGGGTTTAATGTTCAGGAAACAAATATCAAGTGATCTTTTCTAAAGTCTTCAGAAGAGGCTGAGAAGCAACACTTTTTCTTCCCATTTAACATAAGCAGACATCAGAGGTATTGAGGAACACATGGGTAGGACAGCCTAGTGCGCTGTGCAGCTCACAAAGACATGAAGAGGGAGTTGCCCAACCTGGTGCTTCTTCAAGTGCTGAGACACTAAAAAAGATGTTTGCCAAAAGCAAACACCTCAATTAACACAGAGAGAGGTCATTAACCCAGTGATGCAGGGGTCTACACACAGGTTGAGGTAATAGAGTGATATGGGGCTACACTAGTACAGGACTGAGTACTGAAGAGCAGACTAAGTTTATTTAGTTTGGTCTACCTAGTTGACTCCTCATGGGCAGTATATGAAGGAACTAGTTGTAACTTTTTGTCAAATATATACATACATACATACACACACATACATACACACATACATACATATACACATACATACATACATACATACACACAAACATACATACATAAATACATACATACATTAATAAACAAATAAATAAATGAGAGTGTTGTCTAGGAGTTCATATCTAGGTGTGCTTCTTCCCCCGGGAACTTAGCAATGTATGGAGACATGTCTGAGAGCTATGCTGCTGCTTTTCTGGTTGGTAGAGAGTGGGGATATCTGCTGAGCAACCCGAGATGCACCACGAAGCTCACAATGGCGCGTTGCCCTGTTGCAAGTAGTTGTGCTACAGTTGAGCAGCCTTGCTGTGAAGGGTCCAGTTTTGAACTCGTGATCACAAGTTCCACTGTGTGTAGCCAGCTGTTCATGTACACAGATGTCTCTGAGGGACTAAAGATTGTTTCTGGGCCCTTGAAACACTAGGAGACAGAAATGCTTGGCTGTGAAATTTGGCCTAGGACTCTTGTTTGTAGTATCATTGGCAAAAGAAGGAAGCTGAGAAAAGTTGAGTGTCTATTTTATTTGTGTTGGAAAAATCTAGAAGGCAGTAGCCATGAAATGGTTTGCTCACGTTGAGAGGATAGCTCAGGAAATCATGACTCTCAGTTTGGTGCCGATCACTGCAGTTAGACACTAAGCAGTATCTGCCTTCTCACCGTCATCCTTGGCTCTGGAGGGAGAGGCAGATCCCTCCCTCCGGATTATGTTCTGAGATGCAACAGTTGCCACCATCATTAAATTACTTGGTTCTCATTTAACATTGTTTCACCAAAATTGAAATTTGTAAGAATGTGAGATAGTGACAGGAAAATCTGGAAGTCCCCTTCTCCTGCCTCCAGGGAGTTCTAATCTGGTCTTCTCTGGTGTTAGTTAATTTTCTGCACCTGCTTTCCAGTTGATTCCATCTTACTCTGGGCATTACCATTCATGATTATTATAATTTGCTTAATAAATAAACAGCATGACAATATGGAAATACGTTTTTGTAATCTAAGTGGTTGTTTACTTACATTCTCAAGAATGTAGACTGTGTATATTCCATCTTACTGCATTAAAAATGTATATTGCTGGAAAATGGTGATAAAGAAGTCAAGAATGAAATTAGTTTACATAATAACTCCTGGACATATTGTTACATATTTTGTACCATGGCGTCCTTAATTTCACAGGACACATTGTAGGCATGACCTGACTTTGCCTCCCAGTCACCTGATGCTGTTACTAATACTCAGATGACTTCCTTGCTTAGTAAAACTTACAGTGTGGTTCTCCCATTATCAATGTAGTAAGGCACAGTGGCAAGTGTCTGTAATCCCAGTTTGTAGGATGATGAGGAAGGAGGATCATGACTTTGAGGCTAGCCTGGGCTATATAATGAGACCTCATCTTAGAAAGCAGCCAAAACAAACAAAAAAAAGCCTGTGGTGATACATTGGGTACCTTAATCAAGCTTGCCTGAGGATCAGAGGACACAGCCAGCCACTAGATTAGACATAGAGGCCAGACAATGGTGGCACACACCCTTAATCCTCTCCAGACGATCTCTGTGAGTTCAAGGCCACACTGGAAACAGGGCCAGGCAGTGATGGCACATGCTTTGAATCCCAGCACTGGGAAGCACACACCTTTAATCCCAGGAAGTGACTGCAGGGAAGATAAAGGTATATAAGGTTTGAGGAGACGGGAACTAGAGCAGTTCAGCTGAGACCCTTTCGGGTGAGGACCCAGAGGCTTTCAGTCTGAGGATTCGTAGAAACAGGATTGGCTGAGAAGTTGGCAAAGTGAGGTTGGCTGTGGCTGCTCTGCTTCTCTGATCTTTCAACTTTCACCCTGATATCTGGCTCTGTTTTTGTTTGTTTGTTTGTTTGTTTTTCATTAAAAGATCATCTAAGATTCAAAAAACACAAGCCATTCGTCTTTGTCCATCCCATAGATTTCTTTTCCTCAGTCAGTTTGTTCAGAGGTGATGTTTTCTGGGATTCTGCCTTCCTCTGTCTTCTGCTTCTGTGTTTACCAGACCATCACACAGCTTCCCAAGACTTCAGTTTTCACTCTCTGCTCCTAGTCTTTTGTTCTCTTGTAAACAAATTAAGATTGTTGGAACCATTTACTGATCTTTTTTTGTAAGTAATAAGGGAATGGAAACTGGAATTTTGTTATCTAACACACGTGTCAGGACAGGAAACTACTCCAAAGTCTTCATTTCCTTCCTGGTCTCCCTTGAGCTTGGAACTCTGCTTCATGGCCAAGGTCATTCAGAAATTCCCCAGGCACCTCAGATCGAGTGCTTTGATGCTACAGTCCCTCTTGTCCCGATCACAGGCGCTTGCCCTCCTGTGCTCAGCATCTCTTGTTCGTCCACCTTCCCCTCTCACCAGCCCTGCGAGCCCAGGCAGCTGGGTGCTTCTCTTCATCTGCTCAGCACGGCTCTCCTAAGGGCGCTGCCTTCGCTGTTCTGACAGCCCCCAGAGGCCTCTGTGTCTCCTCCCTCCTGATCCTTCGGTTCCTGGGTTCCACTAAAGTGCAGCTCTCAAGTAAAAGTCGATGACGGTCCTGTGTGAACCTACATAGTGGTTCATGAGCCCTTTACCATCTAAATTCCCATCTCCTTTTCTTTGTGGGTCTTATGCCCACTGCTATGCCATGTTTCTGGCAGATGGGATTTACCTCTTCTTTGTCTGGGCAATGTAATGCATGGGCATCTGCTGTGCACTTTCTCCAGCCTCAAGTTCTCCTGGCATTTTCTTAGTGTGGCCCGCTCTTCATCTTTTCCGTGGCATCAGCTCTATTGCTAATCCCATTAATTAGTTACTTTGCCTATAGCTGTGAGAAAATACCTGACAAAAATCAACTGACAGAAGGAAGGGTTTTTTTCGTCAAATTTCAAGAGTGCAGCCCCTCCTGACTGGGAAGGCAGGGCTGCAGGAGCAGGAGGCAGCTGATGACGCTGCCTTTGCACTCAGGGAGGTGGAGAGGCATGAGTGCTGGTATTCAATTCTTTCTTCTTTTTTCCAGCCTAAGATCTCAGCCAGTGGGATGGTGCCACCCAAATTCAGAGTGGGGCTTGCCTCCTGTTAAAATTCTCTGAACGTGTTTTCAAAGACATGCCCAGAAATGTGTTTCCATGGAGATTGTCTGCTCATCTTGGTACTTACCGTTTATCATGCTCTGGCAACAGTGCAGCACCATGCAGGAAGGATGGGACCTTCATTCTCATGGTGTCTCTAGTGGTCTCAGTACCAGGAGGTGGCCAAAACTATGTATTAAGTTTAATTATTTAGGGTGGGAGGTGCATATGCTCCAGCACAGTGTGGAGTTCAGGGAGCAACTTAAAGGATCCTCTCTTCTACCACATGGGTCCCAGGGCTTGAACTCAGGCCAACCAGGCTTGGCTGCCAGGGCTTTTCCCACTGAGTTATCTCCCCGGCTCCAATAAATGTTGTAATTAATATTTAATATAGTGGGAATATAATCGATTACTATTTGGACACGTTGATGGTTTCCAAGGTCCGCAGCCTGGATTGGCAAATCCAGTTGTATGATGGGGATTTCCATCTGGATAAACAACACACACAAGCCCACTAACTTCCAGTACATCGACTTTTTTTCCATAGATGACTTAAGTAACGTTACCACTAAAACACTAAGTTCAAATATTTTGGTGTCTAAATTGAGAAATGAAGTTTTTTAGTATCTGTTTTTCATGAATTACTTAAACCACGGATACTTGTTGAGAGACATTTTTTTTTTTTAGCCTGGTATTTTGTTCGTCTCATATTAATGATTCTTTGCTTCTATTATATGTTATCATGTCATTAGCAATGTGTAACACTGGAGTTAACTCTTACAAGTTCTAAAACAAATTATCACTAGGTAATGTAATTAGATACATTTTCTCACAGAAAGCATAGAGCACTGTCTGAAGTAAAATAATATTTTTGATTAGATCAATTGTGTAGGGCTATTGAATAAAGATCTTTCAAAAGAATAGAATTCAGGTGAGCCTAAATCCTTCAAAATTCAAGTACAAAATAATGATCTTCAGGTGATATGTTTCCCCTCACAATGGGTATATAACTACATGGAATCAGTCTAACCCCACTTTGGCCTGAATCTCACCACTCCATAGCTGTGTCATGTTGCAGTTTGACGTACATGATCCTTGGTGGACAACACCTGGGGGTTGTGCCCCTTCCATGTTTAGATTCTCAAGGTATTGCTTCTGATCCTGTCTTAGGATAGCATGAGGAATTTAAATAAATTAAAATCAAATTTTAATGATAGGAAGAAGTTGACCATACAGAACCACAGGCAACTGTGTTTTAGGGAAAATTTTCAAGTTTCCAGAGCAGAAAACAAGCTGTTACAAGAAGTAGAAGTCTGTGTGGGAGAGAGCTGGGCCTGCTATCATCCAGAAGCTTAGTGATTAATTATTTTCTGCTTGAGGAAGACAGAAAAAAGGAAAAAAATTATCTAGTTTGTCTTTGAAATAAATGGGAAGAATATTTATCATGTTTGTTTGTCTCACACCTGTTTGCACACACGTCCTTTCATGGTTCCATTCATCATTAATGAACGTTGTTTGCCATACTTACAGTGTCAATGAATCTGAGCCTTCCTTTGAAGCAACCCGAAGGTATTATTTCTATTTTCACCCAAGTTTAATAAGAATAACTTTCCCCCTCAGTCTTTAATCTTGCCCCTAGTTTCCCCCTCCATTCTGATGGTGTACAGTCATTTTTCAAATGCCTACCATATTTCCAACAGCAGTGGTTCACAACCTCTCCAGGCTACTGAATGATTAATTTTTCAAGCCTATGCCTGTAACCCTGAGGCAGGAGGATAGGCTTGATTTCTAAGTCATTCTTTGTTGTACACTGAGTTCCAGTTGAGTCCAGGCTGGAGTGATAGCCTGTCTCAATAAACCAAAAAGAAAAAGAAAGAGAAAATTAATCTGCCAAACAAACGGCTCATTGTTTAAACCGTTTTTGTCTCAATAGATCACAAGTCTTTTAAGTTTAGCTGAAAATCAAACTGTCTTTAGTAAAGGATCATGGGGGCTCATTTAACAAAAACTCTTAAGAACTAATACATGCATTGGTTATATGTCAAATGATATCTGAAGATGGTGTTGAGTTGGAGAGCCCAGTGTTTTAGCTATTCAAAAACAAACAAACAAACAAACAAACAAAACCCCAAAACAAAATAATCCCACAAAACAAAAAACGAAGCAAAACAAAACAAAACAAAACCCAAAAGCTTAAAGAAGCTCTGGATTTGATCCCCAACATCAAAAAATCCTCCCCAGACTAAGGGGAAGGGCAAGCAGATGTGCCAGACTTGGGGACCGCTGCCTTCCTGCATATGTAATCATCTAAAAGATGACTGTCACACTAGACTTCGTTGTCCTCTGAAGCCCTACAACGCCGTGCTTCCCAATGACTCTTTAGCTTTTCTCATTTCTTCCTCTTAACCTTACTCCTCGTTAACTGAATCCCGTCGTTAGAACTGACATATCATGAACTAACTGTGGAGGTCCACTCCCTTCCCCAGCCTGGTCCCTTCACCTTCTGTTTCTTCAGCTCATGTATTTTGTAATGGTTGCAAGTTAAAGTCTAATGGGTAAGCATATAACAAAATTTGTAAGCTAAAGAAATAGAAAAGAGAGGAGGAATTTAGAGGTTTTTATTTATTTTTTGTCTTTCTCTTAAAATTCTTTATTGGCTCTTTGAGAATTTCATACACATATTTTGAGCATATTACCCCTCCTCCACATCCTCTCCTTAAAAATATTTTATATGTTTTAAAATATGGACCTTGAATGTGCAGTTTCAACATTGAAATTGACTCCTCTAGATATCATTCTTCATTTTGAAATATTTATATATTATCTATGACTTTAAAATATATTTATGTAATTAAGCAACATAATTCTAGTTTTAATTCATGTTTCTTAATGGTCATTATAAAAACTCTATTGTTTCATAAAACGTGTTTGACACAAGCCAAAACATCTGTGGCTACCAAAGAGAGTGAATTAATTACCTTTTAATCTTAATTCAGAAAAGACATTTTCTTTTAGCAGTTTATAACATTAAATGCTTCATCAGCAGAGAAGAATCAAATATTACTCATCACATGACATTTTAATTCTATTCTGATCCGTGTAATTTAAGTGGCTTATTTAATAATTGCCTTCTAAGGTCGGTGGCCTTGGCCTTCCTCTCCTTCAGTTGTCTACTTCTGTGTGAGTTTCCTCTCAAGCCTCATTTCCCTGTTACACTGAAGTGCTCAGCACGGCACCCTGTGCAATCCCTGTTGTGTTCACCCTTTCCCCAGCAGAAGCAGGTATTCCGTGGCCTATGCTGCCCAGAAGCCCTGGCTCCTAAATGCTACGGTCGAGGAAAACATCACTTTTGGAAGTCCTTTCAACAGACAGAGGTAACTTTGCACATACCGAGTCTACAACTGAAACAACTGCTCATGATCCATGAGTTTGGACCAATTCACTCATTGAGAGGCAATGCCCCCAAACTAAAGGTCATGACTGAAGAGTATGTAACAGTGGGATGGGACTGCATAGGTTGTTTATGAGTAGGTAAAAAGGGACATGTCCAAGTATGCTGAATCAGGAGGGTTAACTGGACAGAGGTTGAGCTTGGTAATGGAGACCCCTAGTGACTATGGGGAGCTAGAATATACTACTTCTCTACAACCTTCCCCAGAAAGGTATACGAGATGGCCTGTGCCTTGAACCACGTCACAGTGGTGGGCCTTAAGATCCAAAGCTGGAATCTTGAAAGTTAAAGAGAATTAGGCAAGGGAGAGGAATGCTGACAAGGAGAGAAGACAGGAGTGTGGCTTCTTGAGAGAAGAACATAAATTATTTGAGTCTTCTGGGGTCTGGGAACAGGCAGACAAAAGGAGATTCAGAAGGGTGAATCAGTTTGAGGAGATGATAACACCCATTCAATGGGATTGTCTGTGTTCCAAGAAGGAACTGCAAGCTTTAGAAAGGGGTACAGGCTGGGTGTGATGGGGCATGTCTGAAATCCCCACACTTGGGAGATGATGGCAGGAGGATCAAGAGTTAAAACGAATCTTCAGCTATACAGCAAGCTGAAGACCAGCTTGGTTACATGAAAATAGCAACTAAAAATAAAAATGGAAAAGGCTACAAAAGGTTGGAAAAGGTTCACTTTGGAGGTTAAGAAACCTGGGCAGATACACTCTGAATTGGGTCAAAGACATGTAAAGAAGGTATTTGGAAGAATCACTTAGACACATGCTTAGAATGGACAGTAGAAATGTAAAAGAAGGGATGGTTGAGAAAAAAGTTCTAGAGTAGTAGTGGAGGCAGATGAGGAAGGAATTAAGATTGACTTGAGTATTTTAGAACCAATAAATAGTCAAGGGCCAGGGAGATACTCAGTCAGTAGTATAATATCTTCTTTGCAAGTCTGAGGACCTGAATTTAATCTCCAGAACCCATGTAAAAAAATCTAGATGTGGTGGCATTCATCTGTGCTTCCAGCACCAGAGAAACAGGACAGGATGACTCCCAAGGCTCATTGTCTAGCTAGCCTTAACCTATGTGCTGAGATCCAGGCCAATGAATAAAATAAGGTGGAAAGTACCAGAGGAATGACACCTGGCATTGTCCTGACTTCCAAATGGGCACACAGACACATGCACCTGCACATACATGGGCATGCACACCCATGAACATGCACACACACACATACCTCCACACACATGAACCTGAACAAACATGAGCATGAGAACACACCTACACACATGAACATGCACACAATAAATAAATGGTTGATAATTTCCCCAGCATCTCTACGTCCTTTGCTTCTCTATCTTTAATTCACCTGTGCTCTAGCACTATCTTTATGTACTTAATTAAACTTGAGTACTATCAGTCCCCATTGCCTTCTGCTTCTCCTCTCTTGACATACATGACAATACTCGAGGACCACCACTTAGTCTGTGCTTGGCCACGATGGACATCCTTCTTCTGTCCCTCACAGATACCATGAACCATCTCACCATCAGATTTCCCTTAAAGTTCATTTTGCTCATTTTCCCCTGGCATATTTCTACATTCCTTTATGGTCTCTTCTTGGAGTGGCTGTTGTTTTTCTCCTGTTGCATGAGTGCTACATGAACAGCACCTGAGAAAGCCCAGCTCTGCTGTGTGTTTGCCTCGATCTTCTTTTGAAGATGCCAGCTTTAAATATTTTAACAAACAAATTAACTTGGATATACTTTTTACGTACAAAATGATGTCTCAGATATATACTGTGAATGAACAAAATCTAGTTATTTACTATACACTTAGCCTCATACCACTATCATTGTTCATAGAGAGATGAATGGAAACTCATACTTTTCTAGTCAAGGTCACACTAATGTGTTCAAAACATGTTTTATTTCAGTCTAAGATACTGAACTTGGAATTGTGGGCAATGTGCAAATAATGATCAACAGACTCAAAACAAATTGCTGGGTGAAGACTGTATATCTCTCTATATAAAAGGAGAATTATATTGTTTGCTGGAGAGTGGATGCAGTTGGATCTACTAAGTCAAATAAGCCAAACTCAGAAAGATAAATATTGCACATTTTTTAAAAAGTTTTTGGATCCTAGCTTCCTTTAAAATAAGTAATAAAACTTTTTACCCATAAATGTGACATGAGAGTAGAAGGGAGACTATGAGAAGGGGTGGACTAAAAGAGGGGGAGGGGAGGACAGAAGGGAGGGATGGGGGGAGGGAGGAGAGAGAGGAAACAGACAGGAGGGGAGGGGAGGGGCTATTGTTAGAATATATAATACACTTGAGGGAACATCTGTGTTTCAAAAGACCCTGAATGTCATTTCTCCCAAAGGTACAAAGCTGTCACCGATGCCTGCTCTCTTCAGCCAGATATTGATTTGTTACCCTTTGGAGACCAGACTGAAATTGGAGAGAGGGTGAGCTGTGTGTGGTTGAACTTAGCAATGCACAAAAATAGAGAAGAGTTGTCTGCTTATCTTTAATCCTCAGAAGATCACAATGAAGTCTGGGGGCTTAGGAATTGCCCGTTGTCCTGGTGACAAGCACCAAAATGTAAGGACAGGCATCCTTTGATACCACTGTAATTATGTACCATTGAGATGCTACTGTGCATGTCATATTGTGCTAGCCACCTAGGACTTGCAGCAGCAGGTGGGCATGAGAGAGAGTGAACTGTGAGTAGCTTCATGTCTCTGAGCCATAGTGTCCACAGGTGTCAAATGAGAACAATCTTCATCTATTGGACCTTCTATGACAAATAAAGCAGAGAAAATTGTAAAGCCACATATACCAACCTGGTACATACTAGGTGCTAAGTTAATGCTAATTATTAATTATCATTAATATTTCATTGTCAAAGAATATTGTTGTGGAGTGCTATACGGTATAACTTATACGATCAGATTGAAGCTATATGTGCTGAGAGCTGGAGAGATGGCTCAGCAGGGAAGAGCATTTGCTTCTCTTGCAGAGGACCCAAATTCAGTTCTGACCACCCAACTAAGGCAGCTAACAACCTCCTGTGACTACAGTCCCAAGGGAGCTAACTCCCTCTTCTGACCACAGGTATCTTGCACTCATGTGCACATATCCTCACACAGACACACACATGCACACATAATTAAAAATAAAATAAAAATCTCTGTAAAAAGAGGGCTGCATCCAAGTACAGCCAATGCAAAACATTAAAAATGCGGAGTTGCTTGTCTTTGGCACTCACCGAGAGTGTTGGTTATTAATGCTCTGGTGCAGTAGAGCTCTCGGTCAGTGTGAAAGGTCAAGGACTATTGACATGCATCAGTCATTGGCATTAGAGAAAATTATTAGTGATGTTAAAAATGTTTATAGATACTTATATTTTAAAGGTCATCTTTACAACCATATCCCTTACTAGTGATGAAAATTGGTGTTTCTGGTATTTCTTTTCCAGGGCATCAACCTGAGTGGGGGTCAGAGGCAAAGGATCTGTGTGGCACGGGCACTCTACCAAAACACTAACATTGTCTTCTTGGTAAGAATATGAACTTTGATTTTATTTATACTTTGATTTCTCCCTCTAGACAAATGGGTATTTAAAAAGCCAAATAATCAGGAGAAAAAGCCAAGTCAGATAACTGAAGGAAAGCCAGTTTAATTTATGGAATTACAGAATAGAGAGTAGGTAAATCCTCACAATACAATTCAATATATCAACACACAAAACCAAGAGTTGGGAGATCCAGACTGGTGCCAGTGAAATTACAAAAAAAGCACAAGACACTCTAAGAAGTGTCTTTTACATTTTATGCATTATTTATTTATTTTGTGTGGGAAGAGGAGGCAGTGTTTGCTTGCCACATTGCATGTGTAGAAGTTAGAAGACAAATTACCAAGTTGGTTCTCTCCTTTCAACATCTGGGTCCCAAGGATCCAACTCAGGCTTGGTTGTCAGGCTTTGTGTTGTCACTGCCAGCTTCTGAACCAATTTGACAGTCCCTGGAGGTAGTGGCTTATCTGGGTTTCTTGACCCAAAGAATAATTAATGAGGGAGTGTGGGTGATGTTGAATAAGTCCACAGAATCTTCTCCTTTGTATTTCATGGAAAAGAGATAAGGCTCAGAAAAAAGACCCTTGGTGGGTCTATTAGATGTAAGGGCATCTAAATAGATATTCCAGTTCCAATGATGTGCAGCTCAGGCTGCCAATAAGAGTTTTGTCTGATGACTCCTAAGATGATAACAATCTTTGCTCAACACTGATAGAATCCATGTCTTGAAGATGCTTCAGGTGGTTTTCATGTATTCACAGAATTTGTTGATTGTGTCAGCTATGATTTTGATCGGGCTTAGTTTGTACAAGAGAAAGGGGCCAAAATACCAGCATATATAAAGTGGGAATTTTAGAGTTCAGCAGAGAATGTAAGCATGTCCCTTTCCTGTGCCATTGTTTGTAGCCGGAAGTTTTCTTGTGTCTCACAGCTGCTTGGTCCCAAATAAATACACAGAAGTTTATTATTAATTACAAACTGTTTGGTCTATGGCTTGTTGCTAGCTAGCTATTACATCTTCAATTAACTCATATCTATTAATCTATGCATTGTCACATGGCAGTGGCATTATCGGTCTGCTGGCATGTTGCTTCTTGGGCTGTGGGCTGGTGTCTGCTCTGACTCTGCCCTCTTCTCCCTGTATCTCTTGCATTTCCTGCCTGGCTCTTATCCTGCCTTACCATAGGCTGAAACAGCTTCTTTATTAACCAATAGTAGCAACACATGTTCACAGCATACAGAAAGACCATCCCATAGCAATCATTAGCCTTCATTTGTAAATCTGCTTGTAGATGGCTTAGAACCCTCAACCTGTAGGTTAAGACTCCTTTGACCCCTTTGACTCTTTCACAGAGGTCACCTAAGACCACTAGAAAACATAGATATTTATATTATGATTCATAGTAGTAACAAAGTTACAGTTATGAAGTAGCAATGAAAATAATTTACAGTTGGTGGTTACCACAACATGAGGCACTGTATTAAAGGGTTGCAGCAATATTAAGACGGTTGAGAACTACTGTTTTGGATATTCACTCCCCTGTATCTCTTGAAATTCTTCAAAATATAGGTTGATTTTGGGGTTTCCTGCTGAATTTGAGTCAATTTAGAAGAAGAATCCAGATATATTGGAATTCTTTCAGGTTAATCCTGAAGATTATTTAGGGAATAGTGCCACCCATTGTGGGCTGGGTCCTCCCATACCAGTTAATGTAATCAAGATGATTCCCCATAGAGCTGCCCATGGGCCAACCTGATCTAGAAATACCCCTTCCTCCCACTGAGATTTTCTTCCCAGGTGACTATGCATTGTGTCAGTTCAGAGGTAAAACCAATCATTGTACCATGCAAAGGAATTTGATTTCATAGCTTTTGGTTTTCCTAGTCTTCAGATTGAACACACGGCTTTGTGCATGCCAGGCAAGTACTCTGCCACTGAGCTGTGTCCTCAATCTTTTTATCTTGAGATAAAATATTGCTAAGTTACTCAAACTGACTTTGTACATATTTTATGGGCCAGACAAACCTTAAATTTGTGACCCTTTTGCCTCAACCTCTTGAATAGCTGGGATGGCTGGCCTGAGCCCCTGGCTGACTGGAGTTGGACCTTTGAATCATCCTGATCTCCTTAATGATGAGTCCTGAAGACACATAGCTGTCACTGTGGCACTTTAGAGAGACATGGTGTCAATCCACCACAGCTTTATTTATAAGACAGCAGTAGTAGAATAGCACTGTAAAGTGATTTCAGAAATACCTCATTACTTTATTGGACCTTTGCATCAGTCTGATGAAGTTTTTGACAGGTCCCGTTAGTATCCCCCTTATTTTACAAATGAAGTGACAATCAGAAGAGAGAGAGAGAGAGAGAGAGAGAGAGAGAGAGAGAGAGAGAGAGGTTGTAACTACATCTCAGCTCTCTCATTTACAGACAGCATTCTGCTTACTGTCGTATGACATTTCAATTCAGAATTGTGTGGAAAATTGACCTGAGTTACTATAAAAACTAATACAGGTACTAAACTTGTATTTTTTTCCATATGAAAAATTTCTTATACAAATGATTAGGACTATTTGGTCTGTATATCAAAAGATGTTCTGGGTCTTAAAGGAACCAGAAGCAGAAATTGTGTCAAAAGCAATCAGTTTATCCCCTATAATAGTTATCTGAATTTTCAAAACCAGTGATTGGCTAGTAAACGTTGTAATTAAACTCTTACTGCATCGCTTTTGGGAGAAGGAGATAAACCCTACCAGTGGTATCCTGAGAGTGTTTAAGTCTTTTTCCCAGTACGGGCACAGTGTATCTTAGAATGATTTATATTGTTACACACACTTTCATTTTAAGTAATCTGTCCTCTAGAAAATCTGCCAGGGCTCTTAACCTCTGAACCATCTCTCCAGATCCATCTGTAACAATTTTTAAAAGCAAGTTACTGGACAGCAGGCAGACAGATTAATCTCTTGGATGTTCTATTTCATGGGATATCTTAGAAATAGTTGGTATTCATAAAAATGACCCAAAGGTTCAGAAAGATTTTGAAACATTTCAATATCATGAAAAGTATTTTAGAATATTCCAGAAAATTCTGTCAACTAATCAATTTCATTTCATTATTTCCTAAAATAAATTGATAAACCCAGATAACATATAAACATATATTTATACCTATATATGTTAAGTATCTGTACACACACACACACACACACACACACACACACACACACATATATATATAATGACAATTGTCTTGCTAACGATTCCATCATCTAAAATATCCCTGTATTTAAATGAACTACTGTGGGTCTATCTCAGGTACTAAATGTATTAATATAAAAGCCATCTGAGGATATTCACTAATTCACCCATCTATCTGTAACTATGATTATCTAACAAACTATTTAATCACTTTACTAATTTTTGTTTTTCTAAGATTGCTCTTAAATACTTTAATAAAATCATGACTTTTTGTTTCTGTTTGTTGAGCAGAGAATAATTGAATGCTGAGTAAATATTGAGCTAATTTTATTACTCTCTGTAATAAAAAGTTTATATGTAATGGCAGTTACATATAAACTGACTCTAACTTCTAAATATAATTGCTATATTTCTTGTCTACATAATCAATCAATGTATATGTATAGATAGCAGGACTGTGCTAAATTCTTTCAGAGTGATAATTCCTACCCAGGTGAGTATGTGCCCCAGTATGTGGAACTGGTAAGAAGCCAGCTACTCCCTCCTTGGGCCCATATGTAGATACTGGTCTGCATATTAAACAAGTAGAAGAGCAAAGAAATAAATCAAGTAGAGGAGACATGTTCCAGGCGCCCTCATTTCTCCACTAAAAGCCTGGGTCATATTTCTCTTTCTCATCTTTTAATTGGTTCTTTGAGCATATTTAGCAGAACTGAGTATGCTCATCTGCCTTCCAACTCTCCCTGTCCCAGGACGACCCATTCTCTGCCCTGGACATCCACTTGAGCGATCACTTGATGCAAGAAGGAATTCTCAAGTTTCTCCAAGATGACAAGAGGACGGTGGTTCTCGTGACTCACAAGTTGCAGTACCTGACACACGCTGACTGGGTGAGACTTCCTGAGTTTGTGTGACAGTCATATCTTAGAGACATCAAGGAATACTTCCTGAGACCAAGTTATGTCATTTGCCTCCTTCCGGCTTCTGCTACGTTTCTGCTCATACATTCTTTCCTTAGATCATAGCCATGAAGGATGGGAGTGTGTTAAGAGAAGGGACCTTGAAAGACATTCAGACCAAAGACGTGGAGCTTTATGAACACTGGAAAACTCTCATGAATCGACAGGATCAAGAATTAGAAAAGGTAAGAAGGGTCAGAGCATTCTTTGTAATTACTAGGAATTCTTTGAAGGAAGCACTGTGTTTTGTAAGATACATGCTGCTCTGTGATAGTCTTCTTTTGAAGCTCAAGATAACTGTATCTTTGCATATATTTATTGAACAGGCTACTTTGAACTTACTACATTTTACTATTTATTTATTATTTGCTTGTTTATTTATTGTGTGTCCGGTGTGTTTGCATGCATGGCGTGTGTGTGTGTGTGTGTGTGTGTGTGTGTGTGTGTGTGTGTGT